ACATTCAAAAAAAAAAAAAAAAAAAAAAAAACCTCATAGGCCAGGCGTGATAACACACATGTAATCTCAGTTCTCAGGAATCAAGAGGCAGGAGAATCACCTACATGTCAAGGCCAGTCTGGTCTACATAGAGTTCCAGGACAGCCTGGGCTACACAATGAGACCCTGTCTCAAAAAAGAAAAGAAAACTCTTTCTTTACCACACTTGTTGGAGGCTGTATGCTCATTGTATTCTACCTGAGTATAAGACTGGTGGTGGGTTGGTCAAACGAGAGAGGTGATACAGAGGCTTGTACTAGTTCAACTCTGTAGTGGGAAGTTGTAAGATGTCCCTCTGACACAGCCATGACTTCTCAGCGCGAACAAGTCATATCTCTCTGCACCCATGTTATACAGCCATAAACCAGGTATCTGGTTATTTTTGCATTTTTGCTACTTCCTAGGATCCTGAGGAAATTGCCCTAGAGGTGACAGGAAGTAGGCTACTGATGGCAGATGTGCATCATCTCCTTAGGGGTCTCAGGCAGAAAAATAAAATCTCCAATGGGGTATCAGTCCCCGAGTTGGGCACACCGGAGTGGCCAGTGGGGAGGCCTAGTCTTGTGGCTCTCAGGGACATCCAAATAAGTCCCAGGTAGTTCTCCCACTCTGTAAATGTAACCAAGGCTGAAAGCAGTTTGTGGAGATGAGGTGTAGGCTGTGCCATGTACAGTAACCATGTCACTTCTTCTGATTTGTGTCTGTCCCACGGGTGACGTACCCCAGTATCCTGTTTGCCTCTTTTACTGCAGCCATTCACTGGGCTGGTGGCTTCAAGGATTTTTCTACAATAACCCCTAAGCCCCTTTCCTGGTCAGTACGCTGCATGACTGTTCCATGTAATCTGTTCTCTCTTCTTGGTATGTTGCCCCACCCTTCCTTGAGATTGTTTGACATCTGTCTGCATTAAACTGCATTTTCCATCCAGTGGCACAGTCACCTGAAAGACTCGGCTCCCTCAGAACCTGGATGCATTGTATTTCATTATTTGCTGTTATCTTCAACTTTGGCCTCATCAGCTACCTGTGGCATCTTCTATTCGACATTCCCATCAGATAATACACCTGTATTATGAATCAAATCCGGAAATGACCCCACTCTACCTGCACTCACTTCCCATGCAAATGTTTCCCTTTTCCAGCCACTGTTGATGAGCCCGAAAGCCTCCTATCACCCCGATATTACGGTGTGGTTGACTGGAAAAACTGTGGGTTGAACTGTCCCAATGACTGTTCTCTAAGGCCACTGCGCTACTGTCTTGTTTTCAGTTCTAATTTTGGCTAAAATTGTGTCTGTGCCTGGAGCCTCTTCCAGTCGGGTGGGCTGGGCATCTACGACTTAGCTGTGAATGAGCAGCCCACAGCCAGGTGACAGGTCCTATCTTTGTGCTTCTAGGAATGAGGTGACCAAGCTGAAATTTGAAGGAAAGACTTTCTATTTATATGTAAGTCAGAAAGAGGTGAGTGCTGGCTTCCTTCTCTTCAGGGAAAGCTGGGGCACTGTGACAGTCCCTCGTTGAGGGAGTCAAGAGTAAGGAGTCCGGATGAAGGGAGGGGGGCTGCCTCCTTGGCTAAGGCAAAGGTCAAGGTATGTAGGGGTGGGAAGGCCTGGAGATGCCAATGGCACCCAGAAGATCCACTCAGGAGAGGCCTGCCTCAAGGAAACAGTCAAATGAGGTTCTCTTTCCCACAGAGAATGCCCAGGGACGCTCTGCTTCTCACCAAGGGCTCCGTCGGGTTAGCCAGGTGAGGTGGTCACTGATGTGAACCCCTCTTCTAACTAGCCAGCTTCTCAAGGGCTCCAGCAGCACAGGACACAGGGTCCTGGCCTTTTCCATCCACCTCAGCTGTTTCTCTATGGAATTTTTTACAGGAAAAAAAAATTATTCTCACATATTTCGCTCCAACTCCAGAAGCCTGTAAGCACCTCTGGAAATGTGGAATTGAGAATCAAGCCTTCTACAAGTGAGTAGAACGTGTGATAGGGACTGTCTTTATCAAAGATTGGGGCCACTAAGCTACCTTCAGAGGAGAGGCAGGCCAACCATGAGAAACAGGAAACCAGCAGAGTAACTCTGGTGTTGGGGTGGCAGTAGAGCCCAAGCTGGGACAGCCCAATGGGTGTGTTCATTTCAGTCACTGCCTCTGTGGTACCCAGGAAGGCCTAGAGGACAAACGTTCCATGAAAGACCCTGTACAATCAGAGCAGCATCCTGACCTCAGACCTCAGTCTTAGGGAGACGCTGGGGTCCCCCTCCTGGTGGGCTGCTCAGAGCTGAAGATGGTGGCCACTTGGCTTGCTACTGAGAAGCTAGGTTTGGGCTAGAGGTAACTATGCTTGCCGGAGAGCTTAGAGCTTGGAGGAGTCTGGGAGTCTTCTGTATCCACTTCTCGCTGATTAAAGAAAGTGGTTGCAAAAGCATCAGTGCACAAAGAAATGGACCAGAGAGGCTGAGGTGATGCCAAGGAAATAACTCACCAAAGCCCTTGGTTTTGTTTAAAAACAAATTTATGACCTGTGTTTTAATAGATGTTCTGGACGGGGAATGCAGTTCATATGTTGGAGTGCTTGCCTTGTAAGCATGAGGCGTAGGGTTCAGTACTCTGCATTGCATCAGCAGGACATGGTAACAAATGCCTGCTATCCAAACTCTCAGGAGCTGGGGGCGTAAGGATGGGTTTAAAGGCTCTCCTCAGCTGCAAAGTAAGTTTCAAGATAGCCTGGGCTACTTGGGACCCTGTGTCAAGGAAAAAACAAAGTGTATTGCAACAACACCAGTGTGTGATGGACTCCAGTTGTGACCCTTACTATCACCAAATGCCCTGACAAGCTAGATCCTCCCTCTACTATCCGGAAGGAGTTTGGGAACATCAGGACTGCTCTCTGCAGTGACAATGAGCTGACTCCAGCCAACAGAACTGATCTCCTGCCATTGCCAGGGCCACAGCTCCAGAGCTATGTCTTGTGAAGGCGTTCTCAGTCCTTAATACTCGTTTGTGCACTTGATACTAGCACCAGGGTGAACTGAACAGGCAGTGTGCATTCTACCCTGAGTAGGCTTCCTTCCGAGGGGGACACTAGGGAGATACTTCAGCAAGCTTGAATCTCCCTGCTATTGAGACAGCCAAGAAGACTGGTGGGGGCGGGGGCTACCATCTTCCCTGCACCTGTGAGGACAATTCCTAGCTTTAACTCAGTTACATTAACCTAGAGAGAAGCAAATTTGAGAGACAAACTCCTGCGGGTGGGACTTAGGAGCAGCTCAGGAGAGATGGGGTCCCCTGCCCCACCCAGACAGGGGCTGGCTCCCACTAAGCTCTCGTTGCCCTGGGGATTCCGAAGCATCCCCATTCTGTCAAACCTCATACAAAAGGAAGCAACTTATGCCCTGTACTTTTGTTTTTGATCTGTGTCCTGGGAACAAACACTTGTTTTCAAATCCATGTGTGGCCACTCAGTTGCTAAGTGTTCCTCCTGGTGGGCAGCACCCAGTGCAGACTACCGAGGGCTTTTTCTTGAACCTGAAAGGAAAGTTCACCTAGCCTTTGCAGGGAGCTCCCTGCCCATCTTCTGTCAGCCTGTCAGGTGGTTTGAGCCATGTGTCACTCTGAACTCTGCTTTGCCATAGGCTGGAGAAGTCAAGTCAAGTCCGTACAGTGTCCAGCAGCAATCTATTCTTTAAAGGGAGCCGGTTCCGATACAGGTAAATAGTGACAGTAAGTAGCCATTCTAGATCTCTTTCCAGGCCCTTCTCTGGAGAGCAGTCTCCATGTGCCTTATCCTCAAGAACAGAGAGACCAGAGCTCTCTGCAGGCCCTGGGGTTACTCCCAATTCCTGAGCCTTTTACCCTCTTCTTCTCTAGCTGCTTGTCTGTAGGTCTCTTCTTCCCTCGTGGTGTTAATCCCATTGGGTGAGAACAAGACCACTACCACAATTCTTGAGCCAAATTTGAAGCAAGCTTTATTAAATACTGGGCAGGACAATAGACACTGGCCAGGTCCTTACCCATGATTCCCAGAGGGTGGCATCAAATTACATCAGTCAGGGGCTTCTAAAGGCAAAACCCACAAGGCTACATACTTCCCACCAGTGTTCAATCAGGGACAAGCATACATCCTGACATACTTCCTGCCTGCCTATGTACCTCCCACCTACATGTGATCAAGCATATCCTGTGCAGTTGAGGCAACTAAGCTTGTTTAGAGAAGTGAAATTACATGACTAGCCTCCAGCATTCCAGCAAGTTATCTGGGCAAGTGGGGCTTACAGGCTAGAGGCATTTTGTTTTCTAGATCTCTTAAGCACAGTAATCTAAAGTTAAAACATAACTCAGGATGTCCAATGGCTCAGAGCCTCCTGGGAGGGTATAGTATGAGCTAAGGCTTTTTAATTGTGTGACTGGGGAACCTTTCTTTCACACACTTGCCATTTCCAATTGCAACATAATCTAGGAGTTAGCCATCACAAGAGCTGCAGAAAAACAAGAACCATGACAGTTGTTCTTTGTGTGTCCCCTTTCTGAGGGGTTTGGGGCTTTTTCCTGGTGATGCATGAGACCAGAGGAATCTTTCATAATTAAGAATGCAGCTGGGGCCGGGCGTTAGTGGCACATGCCTTTAATCCCAGCACTTGGGAGGCAGAAGCAGGCCGGATCTCTGTGAGTTCAAGACCACCCTGATCTACAAGAGCTAGTTCCAGAACAGCCTCCAAAGCCACAGAGAAACCCTGTCTCGGGGGGGCATGGGTGGCTCAGGACTTTAATTCCAGCAATGGCAGAGGCAGGAGGATATCTGTGAGTTCAAGGCCAGCCCGATCTACACAGCAAGCTCCAGGACAGCCAGGGCTACATAGAGACTTTGTCTCAAAAAAAGTGGGGGAAGGGGGACCCCAGAGACTCTAGTGATGAAGAGATAAGTTAAGCCATCATGGCATGCTAGAAGTCTTTGCAGCATCAAGGAAACCTGCAGTGGCTGAAGCCTTGGGGGATTGGGTAAGGCAGACGCCAGAGCACCTAAGATCTTGGAGCCTAATCCTGATCCCTGTCTCCTTTCTTCCTGTTTATTTTTATTTTATCTTTTAACAGCGGCCGGGTTGCAAAGGAAGTAATGGAGTCAAGTGCCAAGATCAAACGGGAGCCACCAGAAATACACAGGTACGCTGCTGGGCACTTCTGAACCAATTCCAAATCAGATCCCAGAATCTCAAAAGACCTAGCAAGCCAAGCTCTGTGAAACTTCTGGCCAAAACAGATACCAGAAGAAAGGAGGCAGAGGTCAGAAGAAGGAAAGGCCCTGTGTCCACCTGGACACAGGCACAGGCATGCACCCTTTAACAACACAAGGGCAGAGCTGGGGGCACCTCACTCAGCAGTTCTGCTCAACCCTCCCCAGCCTTAACATGGATCAGACATGAAAGATGCTGCAGAGCATTGACACTTAGCTGTTCTGAAATTACTCCATTACAGAAAGTCTCATATAACCCCATGTGTTCATAAATTGTACATTTCTGGAACCCTGCCTTCCTCAAACCCAATAGGCTCACACAGACTGGCCAAGAGGGCTAGGATTTGCCCACTGGCCTGTACTTCTGAGAACACGACAACACCTGCCTTTGACACAGCCTATTGGAAACTAAGGAAACTGCCAGTACCATCTCCAGACACATTTCAGGGGTGTGTCTCATGCCAGGACTCTATTCCCTGACAGTCCTGTCCCCCAAGACCATGGCACTTGTTGCCACACAACAGAAAGGCTGTGTATCCAAGCAGGATGTGAGAGTCAGGGACCAAAGGTCAAGAGCATTTGTTAATACCTAGACACCCCATCTGTCTGTGCCCTGATGAAGTGGCTCTCTTTCCATTCAATCTCAGAGCAGGGATGGTTCCCAGCCGCAGCTGTCCCTCCATAACCCATGGCCCACGGCTGAGCAGCGTCCCCAGGACACGAAGAAGAGCTGTTCACATCTCCATCATGGAAGGTGAGTCTGGGCTCCTGGGGATGACTCTGGTGTCTATACATTGTAACACAGCCAAATTCCTCCTCCGGAACTGGATTAGTTACTTTCTGTTACTGTGATAAAATACCACGACCAAAACAACATACATAAGAAGCTTATTTTCCCTTATGGTTCCATCAGGGTAAGAGTGTATCATGCCAGGGAGGCACGGCAGCAAGAGGCAGGCATGGCAGCAAGAACAGCAAGCTGAGAGCTCGCATCTTCAAACAAGCGCAGGGCAGAGAACTGGAGGTGGGGTGAAGCTTCTTACAATCTCAAAACCCCACTCCCAGTGGCACACTTCCTGCAACAAGGCCACACCTCCTAAACCTCAACATCACCAACTAGGGACCAAGTGTTCAAATACTGAAGATTGTGGTGGGCATTCTTGTCAAACCACCAGGGACCTTGAAAAGAAACTGATTTGCAGCTGGACAGAGGTAGCACACACCTTTAATCCCAGCACTCAAAAGGCACAGGCAGGTGGATCTTTGTGAGTTCAAGGCCAGCCTGGTCTACAAAGCAAGTTCCAGGATAGCCAGGACTGTTACACAGAGAAACCCTGTCTCAGAAAGAAAAAGAAACAAGATTTGCTTTAGAGACAACATCAGACTCTTGGGGGAAAGAGCCCCATGGCAGGTAGAAGGTTCTACACAGAGGGTAGGATGCAGGCTGAATGTTCAGCCCCCATCATGAAACCTGACATGCCTATAATCCCAGCATTCAGGAAGCTGAGGCAGGAGGATCACCCTGAGTGATGAAGGATGAAGTACATAGCAAGATCTCACCTCAAAAACAAACTGCTCAGGTAAGAATGTGCATCAGAGAGGGTCTCTGGCTTGTATTAGGCTTTAGGTGTGACTCGTGAATCTCATCTATTCACTTGAGGCAGATACAGAACGAAGGAGAAGCCTGGCAAGGCGGCTACCACCAAAGCAGTTGCTTCATTTGTAAACAGGAGCATCCCCTTCCTGCTGTGAATGGCAAGGAATCTAATGTACATGAAATGCTTTTTGTCATTTTGTTTGTGACAAAATTTTACTTCGTAGCCCAGGCTAGCCTCACTTTCAGCAGTCCTCCTGCCTCAGCCTCCCAAATGCTTGGATTACGAGTGTGAGCAGCATAAAGCACTTTAAAGAGACCCCCCATCCCCCGGTCATTTTGCAAGCCTGGAGCAGGGATCTGCTAACACACACACAGCTGACTGGGATGTGACCAGAACCTCAAAGGACACAAACACAAGTCCAAGGAATGTGCTTTTTGGCTGTGTGAAGTTAGTTCACATTCCTCCCAAGGCAGCCTTCCCTAGGGGGCACACCATCATGGAAGCCCTCTGGCTTTTCTAGAAAAGCTTCATTTGCTATCTCTAAAGACAGGAGGGAATTACAAAACTCCATTAACATAGCATTACAGTTTGAATGAAGCACAAAAGCCCCACAAACAAGGACACTTTAAAAACACTATGAGGTCAGGCAGCGGTGGCGCACACCTTTAGCAGCCAGCACTCGGTGGGCAGAAGCAGGTGGATCTCTGAGTTGAAGGTCAGTCTGGTTTACAGAGTGAGTTCCAAGACAGCCAAGGCTATAGACAAAGAAACCCTGTTGTGAAAAACCATTTAAAAAAAAACAAAAAACAAAAAACAAAAAAAAAACTATGGCTTGTTTTGCCCTAGCATCTACTATGGAGGATGCCCAGATTAACAGAGGCCTGGGCCCAGGAGGACACTCAGGAGTGGCCATGCCCTTCACCCACTGTGTCATGGAGGGGCAGAATGTGGAGATCAGCTGTGTGCTGGGGGTGGACAGACAGATCCAGCCCAGTCCCAGAGCCACCTCTACCTCAGTTCCTGTGACTTGACTGTACCACAGGTGGCCTAGATAAAACCTGTGTGTGACTTCATAGCCTGTTTTCTGGGACAATTTTAGTTGGTCCATTTCCCTTTCCCTCTGAGAGCCTGGGCCGTACTGGGGCCTCAGAGAACAAACTGCAGGCTGGCAAGCATTGCTTTTTATGGATGTAAGCACTTCTGACTGAACCCAGTCCCGTGATAAGGATGGCCTCTCCTCTCCAAGCTTCTCCCTCCTTGCAGCTCAGCCTGACCCGAGGCTCCCAGAGCCAGCACTCTATCCAGGCAGAAGCACTGCTACAGGGAGCTGCCATGGCATGGAACTGGTGAAGTCTTTGTCCCTAGCTGGCTGGCTGTTTCCCGTGAAGAAGGAACCCCCTTCCTGGGCTGCCATGGGAAAGAGTCTAATTAAGATTCATACCAGAGTCCATGTCCAGCTCCGGTTCACTAACCACTGCCTTCGACCCCTAAGCATACGTATCCTGAGGATGGGACCCCGGCTTCAGGGTAGGGTCCTAACAACTGTGCCCCCAGGCCTACTGGGAGCCACCTCTGGACAGAGGCATCAGCTAGAGCACCTCCAAGGTAATTATACTGTCTTGCTGTGCCACTTAGCCCATCCTTCCTCAGCACCAACCCCAGAACTCCCCACCACCACCCCGACTAATGGGTCTGATGAAGGGCACAGTGAATGGTAGCTCCTATAGTAACAGAAGATGTACTTTCTGAAGTCATGAAACTTGCAGAAAATGGGTAGAACTGGAAATTATTATGGGAAGTCACCCAGTTAAAGTACTGCATATTTTCCCCTAGGCTGATTCTAACTTTTAAGCCCATATGTGAGTATGGGCGTAGGTCATGAAACCAGAAAAGGGGACCATAGTGTGGGGGAGGGCGGGGTTTGAGGGTCACAGACATAGCTTGGGTAGCAAGCACAAGGCTCTGCTTTCAATCCCCAGCACTGCATAAACCAAGCATGGTGGCACAGGCCTGTATCCCAGCATTTGGATAGTGGGGGCAGGAAGATCAAAGTTCAAGGTCAACTTTGACTACACAGTGAGTTTGAAGCCAGACTAGGATACAAGAAATGGTAGCTCTGAAAAGAAAAAAAAAAAAAAAAAAGACTAACCGTTTTTAGGAAATAGAACAAATGTGCTATGGGAGTGCAAAAGGGGACACAGGGGACACGGCTGGGGGTACAGATAGTGGGAGCAGGGAATAGGGTGGAGGGAGGAGGAGCAACAAAGACAGATTATGTTTGAAAATGCCATAATGGAACCTATTACTCTCTATATGCTGACTTACAATAGAAACAAACAAAAAGTATGTGTTTCATTTAAAATCCAGGACAAATGTTTAAAGTGGGAAGTTATTCCATAACCAATGCTAAAGTTTATGGTGATGTTTCTGGATAATTTAAACACATACAATAACATTTTGAATGAGATACAACATTCACTATGCAACAACAACAAAAAAAGATAAGTTTGGGTGGGGGGGAGGGAGGGAGAGAGGGAATGTTGGCTGAATTGTCTTGTTCATACCAGCCTGATAAGGAATGACCTTACAGGTGAGGGTTTCTGAACACTGATGTGTTTGGCAGGCTCTCTACTAGAAATGGATAGCTACCATTATCTTGTTTACCGAAGTCGCCAGCAATGTGGCATACCATGGCTTCTGACTTGCTGGCCTCCGATGTCAGTGTCTTGCCTCTCCTCCCCCAGCCAGCTTAGGGATTAGTCACAAACCAAAATGCATCTGCACTGCCGTGGCTTCTGACAACAAAGCTGGTCATACTGTGGGAGATCTGGCTGTCAGAGATGTCCTTGTGAGGGGACAGGCTTTTTAGAGGGTGTCATGTGCCTGTGCTGAGGGCACAGAAAGGAAGTGGGGCAGAGGCCAGGATCATGCTACAGCCAGGGCTTTTTAAGGGTTCTGTTTCATCAGTGATGCAGAGAGCACTCTTATCACATTCGCCAGTGGAGGTCAGGAAATCCAGAGAAAGCAAGAGTGCTGGCTCAAGGGACAGGTGCTCTCAATTTCAAGTTGTCTCACCAGGTTGTTTGGTGATTAAGACCCAAGGCAGGTGCAGGCCACAGACCAAATGCACCCTGCATTCCATAAGCAACACTATAATCACAGGCTTCGGTTCCATCCATGGCTTTGCCATGAGTAGCCAGCCATGTGACTTCAGAACAGGCCCTGTGACTGCTCACCTTATGGAGTTGTTGAAAGACATACAAATGAAATTTTTAGCCAGGTGGCACACGCCCTTAATCCCAGCACTCAACAGGCAGAGGCAGGTGGATTTCTGTGAGTTCAAGGCCAGCCTGGTCTACAGAGAAACTCTGGCTCGAAAAACCAACAAACCAATAAATAAATAGATAATTTTAGACGTTTAAAAATGCCCATCGGGTACTTCTTTTGTGCTGTTCTTGATGTCTAAATATGGAGTCTACTGCTACAGTAACATGGAACAATCGGAGAGGCACCTAACAAACCGAATGGACCCAGAAAGCTTATTCCTGTGCTTTCTACCTTTCCAGGCCTGGAGTCCCTACGAGACAGTGCCCATTCCACACCAGTGCGGTCCTCTTCCCATGGGGACGCCTTCTTGCCTCATGGGAGAAGCAGCCGGGCAGACAGCAATGAACGAGTCGCTGTGATCGCTGACGAGGCCTACAGCCCTGCAGACAGCGTGCTACCTACACCTGTAGCCGAGCACAGCCTGGAGCTGATGCTGCTTTCCCGTCAGATCAATGGAGCCACGTGCAGCATTGAGGAGGAGAAGGAGTCTGAGGCCAGCACCCCAACTGCGGCAGAGGTGGAGGGCCTCGGAGGAGAGCTGAGGGCCCTGTGTCAGGGGCACGGCGGGCCAGAGCAAGAACAGGTGAATAAGTTTGTTTTAAGTGTCCTCCGTTTGCTCCTTGTGACCGTGGGGCTCCTCTTTGTTTTGCTCCTCCTCCTGATCGTCCTCACTGAGTCTGACCTTGACATTGCCTTTTTCCGAGATATCCGCCAGACCCCTGAGTTTGAACAATTCCACTATCAATACTTTTGTCCCCTCAGGCGATGGTTTGCCTGCAAAATCCGCTCAGTGGTGAGCCTGCTCATTGACACCTGAGAAGGCATGACTCCTCCCAATAACTAGCCAGGTGGACCAAGGAACCCGGCTACCCATTCCCAGCAATGGGACCCATCGCGGAACCATCGGCACACACACCAAGTCCTCCTCTCATGACTCAAAGTCCACTGCAGCCTAGGAGGGTTGTTTCCCAGAAGAAAGGGAAACATATAGGCTAATGCTGTAAAGAAGCTGGCAAAACTCAATTTCTTCAGAGGCTCTTTCAAGAAAGGCTCAGCAACTCTATGTTTCTCATCCTTCAATATACAGGATAATTTTGGGGTTCAAATTTTAATTTTTCATAGATGTGTATTATTTTGAAAGTATCCAAATAAAATAATTTATTTTACTATACTGATTGCGGTAGTGTCACCTGGTAGATGGGACACTCGTTGAAGACTTCAGAGAGCTGTTTGTCCTCTGTACCCCGCAGCTTTCTCACTGGTGCCACTGGGTTCCGGGAGACCCAGCAAGGCAGGCCAGGGCTGTGGACAGCCAGGATTGTTGAGGTTTACTTGCCAAAGTAAACACCTGTGTAGAATAATTAAATAGAAAGTTGCTTCTTATGATGGCCTGAGTTGGATTTTCTTTTCCTTTTGTTTTTTCAAATCTGAGCAGAGTGGGCTTCTGAAGGGGACCACGGCTACAGCAGCAGCAGCAGAAGGGGTGGGGTAAGTCTGTCCCCTTAGACTAGAGCCTAGTGGACATCACTGACTTTTATTTAATGATTTTTTTCTTTTTCTGAAGAACCTCAAGGCTCTTCTAGTGCTTCTGGGGTGTCAATGAAGTCAGTGGCAGCAGAGTGACTGTTGGAAATGTCCTGCCGTGTAGTTACCAGAGACCTGTGCTAAGTGGACTGACTGCCTGAGCGCCTGTGGGGCAGAGAGAGCAGTGCTTGTTTTGTAGTGTGCCCTTCCAAAAAGGACTATTTCAAGCTCTATTTTAACAGCAAAATGTTATTTTCTTATCTATTCATATTTTGTTTTTACTTTACGGATTAAGAAACTAGAACCTGATTAACTTTACATGCAAGAAACAGATCTGAGGAAACATCGAGAACAAGCAGCAGCCTTGGAAGGGACCAGGAGACATTCTAAACAGAGTCCCTAAGTGATGCCTACAAGAGACAGAATTTGACCATGGCAGAGACCAACACTTACCATAGAAATGCCACCCATAGGGTCAGCCTCTGCTCCTGGAAATAAGACCCAGGAGAATCCTTGGAGGGCGTCACTCATTGCAGCCCTGGACCACAAAGGTGAGCAGGAGTCCCCAGGCCTCTACACTTAAAAACAACCACACACAAGACCTTGTTTTCATCTCAGGGAGAGATTACTAAGTCATCTGAGGCCCACGGACTTATTTAAAGGACCGTCAAAGGGCATGTTCCTGGGACCCAGACAACAGCAGAGCTAAACAGCCCCAAATATAGAACAGATTGGACTGTAGTGCATTTGAGCTCTTATTTTTTTGCCTGGGATGGTAAAACTATGTTCCTGTTCTGAATATGGCAGCCACAGAAAAACCAATGGCATTTAGGTAATTTTGAAGAAAGGTACCGTAGGTCAGCAAACTTCTTTTAAGAAACTTTTGGTTTGTGGGCCATACTCTGCCACCCTAGCACACCTCTGATAATGTGTGCATATAAAGGAACATGGCTTGTTCCAAGAAAACAAAAGTTGTTTTTTAAAAGGCGTAGGGCTGAGGATGTAGCTCAATGGGTATTTGCCTAGCATTCATAAGGCCCCGATTTCATCACTAACACTATAAAAAATCAGGTGTGGTGGCATATACCTGTGGCCCCAGCATCCAGGTGGAGATGGGAGGCTCAGAAGTTCAAGGCCAGCCTGGGATTCATGAGACCCTGTCTCAGACCACTGGCCTCCCTCTTCCCAAAACATAACCTAAAATTGCAATATGCTGAAATTGGTCCACAGCCATAAGACCCCGACCCTGACCTACACAATACAACTGTCACACATTAGCAAGAGGGCCAGCTTCGAATCCTGTCTCATGTAAGACCCAGAATCATTTCCCCATGGAGGCTTTGCCACATGATCCACCAACCAGCAGTGACGTCGAATCCGATACCAAGATCAAGTACTACCACTCTGAACAGCGCTGACTCTTAAGAACGGACGCAGGCCTATCTGATCATTTCCATACCAGCAACAGTTTAGGTAAAACCTAAAACATACTTACCACATGACAAGACAAACTGAGGGGATCCTAGTAAAGACTAGAGATCACTTCAAAGCGATGAGCCACTGCCACTTGTCAACTGCATAGCAAAGGTTTACTTAGCACAGGACTGGCATGAAAAGTCCCCCAGAGATGCAAACGCTATTGGGAAACAGGGCTGGTGTGAACCGGGATTTCTATTCTTATGCAACATAGCAGATTGCCTTCTAGTGTAGTGCTCCTACCTCAGTTTGTAGAACACAGTGTCTATGCAGTGAGTGATAGCCTCGCCTCTGACCCTTCATAGCCAAGAGAGGGAGGCAGCCTGCCATTGCCTGGTGTTTCTTGTGTCTTGAGTCTTAACAGTGCAGCGGTCCTTGCCATTTCCAACATCTAACCCGGAACCTTCAGGTTCTTTTTTTCCAAGGCTTATCCCAGAAAATAAGGACAAAAAAGGCCTCCTTCGATTTGGTTCCCAAATAGTTTTCAATAGTTCAACAACAAACCCCGTTACTGGTGACTAGTGTCTTTTCAGTATTTTCCCATCATTAAAAAAAGTTCTGGTTCTCAGTCTGGTTTTGCTGTGTTCTATGTCTCTTATTTCCTCTCAGAATTAGTTAATCTCACAGTAGAAAAGCAGACTTGCATGCACCGTCAATCAGAGGTGATGCCTCCTGAGGAGCGGGCTGCACCTGTAAGCAGTAGAGGGTAAACAACCTACAAATGTGAATTCTTAGTTTCATTTAACAATAGATAGTTGTTAACCTTTCGTGTGCCAAAATCTCTTACGTTACATTTTCCTTCAAAGCAATGTACTTTTTTTCTACATATGCAGTATGTAGTTAGCATAAAATCATTGGTGCCATGAAGATTATTTTTAAACTTAAATAAATATTTAAATACCATAAAAGAATGGTTTTTTTTTTTTTTTTTTTTTTTTTTTTTTGGTAACCTGTCTCACTTTATCAAAAGTTACCACTACATGGAGAGATTGATGGCTCAAGCACTCGCAGGGGACCCAGGTTCAGATCCCAGCATCTACATGGTGGCTCACACCTGGCTGAAACTTCAGTTCCAAGGGATCTGATACCTTTTTCTGACCTCCTCGGGCAACACACACATGCAGGGCACATACATGTAATAAAAATAAATAAAATCAAAAAGATCTCGAAGAAAAAAAAAAAAAAAACCTTTATCAGCTATGAAACAGAACTACCATTATGAATATTCATGATAATTAATAAGCTAAGCTTCCAATCTTAGTTTTAGTGTGTGGTTTTTTTTTTTTTTTTTTTTTTTTTTTTTTTTGAGATGGGGGTCTCACTGGCTGGCCTGGAACTCACTAGGTAGACCAAACTGCCCTTGAACTCAGATCTGCCTGTCTTCATCTCAAGTGATGGCGTTAAAGCCACACAGCACACTTCACTCTTAAGTTTTTGGTTTTTTTAACCTTTATTATTATCTTGTGTAAGTGTACTGCTTGCATGTGTGCTATATCCTGTATGCAGTACCCAGAGGCCAGATGAAAGCACTGGATCCCTCAGAACTGGAGTTACTCTTGGCTGTGACCACCATGTGGGTGCTGGGGATCGAACCTGGGTCATTTGGAAGAGCAACCAGTGCTTATAATTGCTGAGCCATCTCTAGCCTCTAGATTTTTTAATTATAAAGATGACTCAAAGAAATTATTCCTCAAGGAAAATTCATACTTTATTTCTGTGACATACAAGAGTATTCCCTCTTACAATCCAAACATACTGCCTAAGCTATTTATAAGTCTTTCAGTAGTAACTTTGGCAAGTAACATAGAAAAGTTGGATACATGTTACAGTGTGACACCAAGCCACTGATTTATAGAAGAATATATATAAACATATACCATATGAAACTGTTTTATTTTAAAATATTCTATTAAAATAAAAATATCCTAATTTTGCTTTCTGTACTTTACTAATTCGGGGGCAACGAAAGGAGAGCCAGGTTAGCCTGGAACTCCTGATTCTCCTGCTTCTATCTACCTCAAGTGCTGGGGTTACGAATTTCATGTGAAAAGCTACCACAGTTAGCTTTACACAGTTATACACTAGAATATAGGATAATGGTGCAAATTCAAACACTGTGCAGTCCCAGCTCATTTCTGGAGCTGCCCAGGGGAAGAAGGCAGATGCAGGCCCTAGTCACAGAAACCAACGTTCCCAAAGAAAATTGTGGGATTTCATGTAACTGAGATACAAGAACCCCAAAAAAGGCTCTTAGCTTACAAAACTAAGATCTGGCTAGACATGGTAGTACACACCAATAGTCCTAGAATTTGGAAAAGTGAGGCAGGAAAACTAAAGCTCAAGGGAAGCCTGAGTTACAGAGTAAAACGCACTCTCAAAAGCAACAAAGCAGAACAACTAAGTTTTAAAGACGGGGTATTGGTCAATATTGGAATACTTGCCTAACATGTGACAGGCCCTAGGTCTAATCATATTTCATAATTAGATGATCTTTTAGGACCTATTCCAGTGTGAGAAATAAGTATCCACCCCAAACTATAAAATAAATCACAGATCCATAGATCACTATTGCATCAAAAATGGTCTCATTATATTACAGAAAAGTTAATACTGACCACTCAAAGCCTTATAATTTGATAGAATTTCTCAAAATACAGCCTAATTAAAAGTGCTGAAAGATGCTGAGTGGAGTGGTGCACTTAGGAGGTGGAGTCAAGAGGCTCCAGAGTTCCAGGTCATTCTTGGCTACAGGGAGTCTAAGGCCAGCCTGGGCTACACAAGGTCCTGTCTCCAAGTGCTGAAAGCATCCCAGATTCTGCTCCAGGTCCCTCCTGCCACGAGGTTCCTTTGCCACAACAACAATTTGAGCAAATTGTTGAATCTATCCTATAGCTCAGAAGCTTTCTTGACTCATAAAAACATGTAACCTCCCGCTGGAGTTACCTCCAGCCAGGACATAACGGGTGGGATGCATAACACTGAGGGAACACACAGACACAAGACAGTCCCCAGAAAGAGAGCGCACACTCTCTCCCGTCTCATGGAAGACTTCCACCCGCCGTGGGTGGGCCATACTGCCAACTATGAAGCAATCTTCTTGTTTAGGGTCCCACACAGCTTGGAACCTCGTTAGCCATCTCCCAGTGATAGTGTTATGCCTAGTGGGGAAAAAGAAAAAAAAAAAGAAACCAGTATTTAGTTTGAAATGTTAAATAATTCAAGGTAGTACAGAATAGAAGGTCAAAACCAATCATCGGTATCTGCTTCACCTTCTAGCCTTCAGCTTGTGCTCAGAGGGTGGTGACCCAGGGACTATAGAAATGGTACCTTTTCTGGGGCTGGGGATGGAGACTGGTCAAGAGCACTTATTATTTATTGGCTTGATTCCCAGCACCCATATGATACCTTACCACCATTCCTAACTCTGGTTCCAAAGGACCCAATGCCACTCTCTTCTGACCTCAGCAGGCACCAGGCACACATGGGGCACACACTTACACACAGGCAAAAGATCCATACACATAGGTAAGTCTTAATTTTTTTAATAAAAGGTAACTTGTCATTTTTTTTTCCTTTTTTAAAAAACTTTAGGAAGCCCAGGTTGACCTTGAACTCCCTATGTATCAGAGAATGGCCTTACACTTTTGATGCCCTGCCTCTACCTCCCTGGTAACTCCATTACACCGCACCTCACTTCCTTTAGCAGTACTGGGAATCAAACCCAGGGTTTCATGCTTGTTAGGCAAGTACTCTACATCCACAGCCCTGTACCTTTCCTGCTCACTGTTCTATATACACACAAAAAGAATTTTAAGAACATACTGTGAACAATTATATACCAACAAACTGAATAACCTACAAGAAATAGACGAATTCCTAGGAACACAATTTGCCAAGAGTAACCCTAACAAATTAAAAACTATAAATTCATTCACAACTAGTTAAGGGTACTCACACACAGAGGGAGAAGGTGGGGGGGAAGAGATCTGAGAATATGTTTCTATAGTATTCGTTTTCCTTTTGGTTTGTGTGAGACAGGGTCTCATTCTGTAGCCCAGAAATTACTCTGTGGCTCAGTCTCACCCCCCAACCTGGGGCACTCCTCCTGCCTCACCCTTCCAGCACAGGTATTACCTGTGTGCACCTCTGTACCCAGCTTTCTTAATGAACACTGACACAAAAATCCTCAACCTGGAGGTGTGGCCCTGAGTCCAATCCCCTGCACCTTATAAACTACGTATGGTTCGAACACACTTGTAATCAAGAACTGGGAAGGTGGAGGCAGGAAGGTTAAGATTTCAAGGTCATCCTGGTACAACAAGTTCCAGGGCAAGTAAGGATAAAGAAACTCCTGCTCAAATAAAATAAAATAATAATAATTAGCAAACCAAATTCAACAGCATAGGAAAGAATTACACATTATGGTCAGGTAGGAGACAAACAGTGTAACACACCATGTTAACAAAGTGAAGGACAGGCACTCGGCACTCACAATTGATGCTGAAAATGAATTCGTAATGCACTCAACAAACTGGGAGCAGAGGGAGACAGACAATCACAACACAATGAAGGCCACATATGAGACACAACCCATCAGACGCAATGAAGACTGAAAGCTTTCGCTCTGGGATCAAAAATAAGGTAAGGGTCCCCCTCACCACTAACATGGTATCAGTCATCAAAACCTGATCATGGGGGGAGGGGGGAATTTCGTCTGCAGATGGCATGATCACATCCATAAAAACAAAATATGATAAAAGATTGCACACATTTAAAAATCTACTTGAATAATTTCAAAGTTACAGGGACTAGGAAGACGGTCGGTGATAAAGTTCTTACCACACAAGCATAAGAACCGGAGTTCGGGCTAGAGAGATGGCTAAGAGGTTAAGAGCACTGACTGCTCTTCCAGAGGTCCTTTGTTCAATTCCCAGCAACCACATGGTGGCTCACAGCCATCCGTTATGGGATCTGGTGCCCTCTTCTGGCATGCAGGCATTCATGTAGGCAGAACACTGTATACATAATAGATAAATAAATAAATCTTAAAAAAAAAAAAAGAATACTGGCTGCTCTTCCAAAGGACCTGGGTTTGAACTCCATCACCCATGATAGTTCCCAACCATCTAAAACATCTATGTGGACAATGCATATATGTGATGCACAAGCACACATATAATCTAAAGACTCACACACATAAAATAAAAATAATCTTAAAAAAAAAAAAGAGAGAGCGGGAGCTCAAGCCCAAGAATCTACTTCAAAAGCTGATTATTACGGTAGCATCAGGGATCACTGGCCAACCAACCTAGGCAAAACTGTGAGCCCATATGCCACTGAGAAACCCTGTCTCAAAAATTAAAGTAGCCAGCTCCCACAGGACACCACCTAAGGTTGAGCTCAGGCTTCCACACAGTGCAGGCGTGTTCACACACACACAATTTTTAAAACATAGAATACAAAAATCAACAAACATAAAAATCTGTTATATTTAATCCAGGCAGTGGTCTCAGCTGTTGAGAGGAAGATTACTTTCATCCAGGAGTTTAGGCTAGCTTGGGCAAACAGCAAGACCCCATCACTTAAAGGAAAAAAACAAAACAACAAAACAAAAACCCTGTAGACAAAAGGACTCACTTATTATCTAAAAGCATAACAGGAATAGAGTTCCTGGGAACAATTATTTTCAAGAAACCAGGATCTCCTGTCAAGAAACATGTCTACTTCTCAATGGCCATGTGTTGACATCTGATAGGATATTATGGTCTAGATGTAAAATGCACCACAGGCTCCTGTGCTTTGCATACTTGGTCCCCAGATGGTGTTACTACTGTGGGCAGCTGTAGACCCTGTAGGAAGTGGGGCCTACCCGGAAGAAGTGGTTCCTGGAGTTTAGACCTTACGTTTAAACTAAACAGGAAGAACCCTGTCCTTTTAGAAAACTGCTTCTGCTCTCACTGAGATGTGAGGACATAAAGAACCTCAGCGGCAAGCTGTCAACACAAAGCCACTGTCACCTCTGTGCTGTTCAATACATTCATATGCACATATCCACAGACAGACACAACAGCCTATAACCCCAGCTCCAGGGAATCCAACAGACAGATAAACATATGTACAATTTAGAATAAAAGTAAACCTTTTATTTTAAAGAAAAGGAAGTCTACAAAAAAAGAAAGAAAGAAAGAAAGAAAGAAAGAAAGAAAGAAAGAAAGAAAGAAAGGAAAAGAAAGAAAGAAAGAAGAGAAAAGGAAATCTACATAATGAGTTAGAAGCCAGCCTGGGCCATACAAACCTCAGCCTCAAAAACACAACAAAACACACACACACACACACACACACACACACACACACACACACACACACACACACAGAGACAACCAGTCAACCAACCAACACAAATGATGATAGTTAAGTTTAAAGATTAAAAGACTGAAAAGAGTCAGGTGCTGGTGGTACACGATTTTAATCCTAGCACTCAGGAGGCAAAGTCAAGTGGATCTCTGTCAAGTCAAAGGCAGTGTGGTCACAAAGTGAGTTCCAGGACAGACAGAACTGTTGCACAGAAAAATCCTGTCCTGGAAAACCAAAAAAAAAAACCCAAAAATAAATGCTAACAACTAAGCCTTACAAGCCCACAACCCTGGGATTAAGAGTCCCATGCTCTACTGACTGAAAAAGTCTGTCAGATATGCTAGGCCTCTATGGTTAAATAGTGGCTAGCTCCACCTTCTCACCTTCAGGCAAGCTTTAGATATCACCACAGTCTCTGAACAGGATAGAGTCTGCCATCTTGAAATTGGTTCTAATTGTGCCTCTCTGGACCAATAATTTTACAATTTTCTTTCAGCAGTTAATCAAGAACAAGAACAACCATTATATGAATAGTATGACCTACAAAAAGTTAACTGTTATAACACATTCATAATATCCAATCCAAAAAACAAAATTAAGAAAAAGAGTCCTGGCTGATTGATGGTAGCACACTCCTTTAATCCCAGCACTTGGGATGGAGAGGCAGGCTGATCTCTGAGTTCAAGGCCAACCTGGTCTACAGAGGAGTCCCAGGACAGCCAGAGCTACACAGAGAAACCCTGTCTCAAAAAAAAAAAAAAAAAAAAAAAAAAAAAAAAAGTAGTAAAATAGCATGTAAATTTAAAAATCTACTTAGAAGTACTCAAAAAACTGAACAGAAAAAAGAAATACTCAGATTTAAAAATGAGCAAATTATACCTGTTTACAATTTAAAAAAAAAAAAAAAAAGACGTTTTGCTGGGTAACAGTGGTGTACACCTTTAATCTCAGCACTCAGGAGGCAGAGGCAGGCCAATGTCTATGAATTCAAGGCCAGCCAGGTCTGCAATGAGAGTTACTGGACAACCAGACCTTTTACACAGAGAAACAGGGTCTTAAAAAAATAAAAAAAATGTTGGAGCTGGAGAGATGGCTCAGAGGTTAAGAGCACCGACTGCTCTTCCAGAGGTCCTGAGTTCAATTCCCAGTAACCACATGGTGGCTCACAACCATCTGTTATGAGATCTGGTGCCCTCTTCTGGTGTACAGATAGACATGGAAGCAGAATGTTGTATACATAATAAATAAATAAAATCTTTAAAAAAAAAAAACTTTTATGTCTTTATTTTGCACATCACACTCAGGAATCAGTAAGTATATAAAGAAATCATGAAAGAATTTCAGCTAATTTAAAATAACTTGTCAGGAAAATTTGTGCATTTTTAGTAAAATGATTTTCACAGTTCTCTATTTTTGTAACAAGGTCACCAGCTCCTGACACTAGCACACAGTCTCTCTGAACTCACCATAGCTCCAAGTTCTCATGTAAATTGGATATTAACAATGGAAATTAAAACCACCTGGTAAACAAGAAACACTATGACATACCCAGTCCAAAAGAACCTGACCAGTTACCTGGAGACACTTTTCCAAAGACAAACATATGGTCTTACTGAGCCCTAGCCCATCCTCCTGCCTCCACCAACACAGTGCTAGGGTTAAAGACACATGGGTATCCACACTTGGTTCTTTGTGAAATATGGTTGTTGGGATTTGAATTCCGGTCCTCATGCTTATAACGAAAGCAGCAATCTTAACTGCTGAGTCTATTTTTAAGTATTTATTGGCCATTTTGTGAACTGTCTGTCCATGCATTAGCCCATTTATTGATTGGCAGGCTTGTTTTGTTCAACTTTTAAAAAGTTGGGTGTTCAACTTTTAAAGTCCCTTAGTTTTTATATTCTAGGTTAACCCTGCCTGGCAAGGAGTTAATTTTACAGGTTGTCTCCTCATTTTGCCAATAGTTTACTTTGCTATGAGGGTATTTTTTTTAATTTCGTGAAATCACATTAGTCAATTCTTAGGGCTTTAGTGGGTACTACTATAGTAGTACTATAGTTCACAAAGTTCCTCCACAAAGTCCTATCCACAAAGTTCAGTGTTTCCAGTTTTCAAGTCTTTATTTTGAATTTTTCTCCAGTGAGAAATAAAGATCTAATTCCAATCTTCAGTGGGCAGAAAAACAGTTTGCCATCATCAACAAATGGCTTCCCCCATTCTCTGTGCATGTTTTTAACAACTTTGCCAAACATTGGAGGGCAACATTGTGGTTTTACTTCTGGTTCACACCTTTAATCCCAGCACTCAGGAGGCAGAAGCAGGCAGATCTCTAAGAGTTCAAGGAGTTCCAAGCCAGCCAGTGCTAGATAAATATCAACAACAAATAGACAAACTGCAGAACACACACACACACACACACACACACACACACACACACACAGGAAAGCCATTCAGTCTTAAAATAAATCCTGAACATAAACAAACCTGGAAAATACTGTGATGTGAAATAAGCAAGACTCAGAAAGACAAATAAGATATGGTCTCACTTTGGTGTTGAATTTGAAAGTGAAGTCAAAGAACAGTGAACAGAGGCCGGCAGTAGACGTTGGGTCAAGGGAAGCAAACTTTCAGTAAGAAGTGGGGGGGGGGGAATCAAAAGATCTAGAATAGAAGTGTCTTGTTTTTGTTTTTTTTTTTAACTTAACTTTAAGATTTATCTTATTTTTATTTGTGTGTATATGTTTGTGTAAGGATATTCCTTGTGTGTGCAGTACCCTCAAAGGCCAGCTGGAGCTACAGGAAGTTGTGAGCTGTCTGACATCCACCATAGGTTTCAGAATGGAACTCTACATTCATCATGCTTGCTCACCAAGCACTTTTATGCTCCAAACCATCATTAATTAAAGTCAGAATAAGAGATTTTAAATGTTCTCAGAAGAAAAAAAAAAGGAATACCTGCTAAATAGTTCAATTTAGCCATTCTATAATGTATACATATTTCAAAACATTGCATACAACATATACATTTTTATTTGTTAATAAACTAAATAAGGATTAAGGATTGGGAATGGTGGTGTACAGCTTTAATCCTAGCACTCAAGAGGCAGAGACAGAGGCTGTCTGTGAGTTCGAGGCCAGCATTGTCTCCACAGGGAGTTCTAGAACAGTTAGGGTTGCATATTGAAATCCTGTCTCAAAAACAAAGACACTGATTAACTGAAACATAACATCTGAAAAATAAAATGAAATGAGCAAAGCCAATAAAAAAGGAAACAAAATATGCTTAAATAGAGACTCTGAAAACAGACACTAACAAAGCCCAGCACACACCCAACTTCAAACATGACAAAAACAATCTCTAGAGAGAAGGCATGGAATATGGAAGAGTTAATCATTAAGTTAGCACACATCTGAAGAGTGGGTTCAAGAGGGCAATCAGAAAACAGGAGGTGGAAACATGCAGAAGCCACCTAAGCCCAGAATAAACAGGCAGCCCCATCAAGTATTCGCAGTCTCCTTGAATAAGGAACTGAGTGTAACTCAAGTCACAGTAAAGACCTCAGCTTTGGCCAAAAGGAACCTGCAGAGAGGACATGTCAACTGAGAGCTGAACCACTGAGGTCCGCAAGCAAGACTCCTCTAGACAGGGCTGGAAAGCGAGGAAGCTTATACAACACAATACAAAACCAGAATATAGGCTCTCCTTGACTGTCAACAATCTAACATGGCCTTCTACATGCTGCTGCTGCTGCTCACAGCAGTCCAGGATGGTCGGGCGTTTGTGGCGCACGCCTTTAATCCCAGCGCTAGGGAGGCAGAGGCAGGTGGATCTCTGTGAGTTCGAGACCAGCCTGGTCTACAAGAGCTAGTTCCAGGATAGCCTCCAAAGCCACAGAGAAACCCTGTCTCCAAAAACCAAACAAAACAAAACAAAACAAAACAGCAGTCCAGGATCTAGGTATTTGGTGCATGGAGCCTACCTGATGGTAGTAAGGAGAGGAATCTGGGAAGATAAAGAGCTGCTGTCAAAGACTCTGCAAATAAAGGATAAAAACAGTTACACAGTCTTGTTACTTAGATTTTCCTGTTTTTCTGAAATAGTAACAGTGTATTTAAGATACCTGTTGGTTCACATAGGAAATATAACTGTTGCTTTATGTGGTATCAGATTCTAACCCCAGATGCTATCTTTAACAGTAAATACATAGACTGTTGTAAAATTCAGTCCATACTATAAGCTTAATCTGGACACACTTAAACACTATTACTCCAAAACAAATTTTCTTTATGACAGTTATCTATATATGCCGAGAACTGTCAATCTTTCTATTTGGCCTCCTGAGTACTGAAATTACAGGTAGGCACCACACCAGCTTAGCAAGTGCATTCTAAAGTGACAATCTGGCAGCTAAAACTATATTCAGATTCACACACACATAAGAATTGTGGAATGAAAACTCACAAACACTCTAGGAGTACACACATGCATAAAAAAAGCAATCTTTTGGTGCTGGAGAGATGGCTCAGTGTTAAGAGCACTGACTGCTCTGGGTTGAATTCCCAGCACCCACATGGCAGCTCACAATTGGCTGTAACTTCAGTTCTAGGGGACCCAACTCCCTCATACAAACATACATGCAGGCAAAATACCAATGCATATAAAAAAATAAAATTTTTAAAAAGCAATCTTCTTCTGACTCTTTAGTTGATAGCTTGATGTGTCATTTCCAAACTGCTGAAGAGACCGAATGGCCAGCAGGAAAGTGGAGGGACACAGAATCCTCTGCTGGGGATCATGACAGAAGGAAGCCAGTCTCATTATCACACCCTGCCTTCTGTGCCCATCTGATCCAGAGCAAACTCTTGGCACTAGAGCTACTGCCTAGTTTGATTACTGAAAGCTTAATTACTAGAGGTTAATGCAGTAAGCATAAACTCTTAGAGGGTAAACGAATAAAAATAGATAAAAAGGTGTCAAGACAAAGGAAACTACGTGGGTAGAAAAGGGGCATGGGCTGCCATGATAAACCTCACATCGTCTCCTGGTAATGCTCACAAACTGTGTTAGACACCAACTGGGCACCTGCAGATCATGTGTTTGCCTTCATGAGCCTGACCCATGAAATACGTTCAATAGAGACTTGCTGAAGGGTGAATTCAACTCTTAAAGAGACTGCAAATTTGAAACAAAACCAAGTATTTTCAATGAGAACAGAATCATTTTCCCTGTAGTTGCATTAACTGTCTTCACAACTTTTCTCTAGAGATGGGGTCTCACTATGCTGCCCATCTGTGTACTTGATCTGACTGCCCAGAAACTAGGACTACAAAAGCCTTTTCATTTTCTTTAACTTGACATTTTTTTCTGTTAAGTTCAACTGATTTAAATCAATTTTGGGAAAGTAGCTATAGAAAAGTACCAAAGCTAAAACCCTAAAACCACACCTATTAGACTGTGCAGAAGCTAACCATTTAACATACTTTCAAGGCAGATCCCACTTTCCCCAGAGAGTGGGCTTCTCCTAACTAGCATTGTGGAACACACCTGTAATCCCAGTACTCGAGAAGCCAAAACAGGAGGATGGCAAAGTCAAGGTCAGCTTGAAATATACATCAAGACCTGAGAGAGGGAGGAGTAAGTGGTGGGACAGAGAGAGATGGGGTGGGAGAGAGAAAGGAGATAAAAAAAAAGTAAAGAGGAGGAAAAGGAGGAGAAGGAGGGAGGGACTATAATACAGTAGCATGAGTGATTCCATAGCAACAGCAGTAAACACAACTTCTAGTTTATGAACACCATAGCTGCAGTCTCTGAACAGATTCCCTAAAAACATGACTGTGTCTTCTTAGTTTACCTCAGCTTACAGTCAGCACATGTGGTCACCACTCTGTTACCCGTAACAGGTGAAAAATATGCAGAGGCAATGCTCTTGGAGTGTTCAGCCAAAGAGATCATAGGCTGGCTTCCCCTGGAATTCAGGCACCTCACATCATAAACGTGAACATCCCTGGGACAGAAAGAGAAATATCAGTACAGCCCACACAGTGAAGCCCAGAGTAGGGTTAAACACACTCAGACACCTACTAACATTAAGAACATTTAAGACAACACCCTCTCATCTACAATTTACAGACAGTGACTAGCATAGGAAAATAAATAAAATACTAAAAAAATTCCAAGATACAGAAGATCCATGTTACCGAAGGCACAGAGACTAGTTTCTACAAGGTTTTCAATATCTCTAAGTGCTGGGCAGTGGTGACACATGCCTTTATCCTTGCACTGGGGAGGCAGAGGCAGAAGGAACTCTTTGAGTTCAAGACCAGCCTGGCCTATAGAGTGAGTTTTAGGACAGTCAGAGCTACCATAGTAAGACCCTGTCTCCAAAAAAGAAAGGAAGGAAGGAAGGAAGGAGGGAAGGAAGGAAGGAAGGAAGGAAAAGAATCAATTATCTCCAAGAAACAAAATAACATGAGTCAAGTTATAAGTCACACACAAGTTTTCTGTTTATTACAATTTTAAGTTTCATAAAAGTAGAAACAAATACCTACAGTGCCAAAGGTACACATGTGTGCTTCTTTGAACAGTTTCTCTATTTATTAACCAAAAGAATGCGTATTAAAAAAGTAATTACACTTGTAATATTTCTTGCAGTGTGAAGAAGAAAATTACTTGACTTTGTATATCACACAAGTCAAAATGTGTTTTAAGGATGGTGGCAAATACTTTTAATCCCAGCATCTAGAAGGCAGAGACAGGTGGATCTCCCAATTCCAGGCCAGCCAGGACTACAGAGTGAGACCCTGTAGGTAGTTGGTGGGAGGGCGGAAGAGAGGGGGGAGGAAGGGGAAGGAAGAAGAGGAAGCAAGGAAGGAAGGAAGAAAAGGTCAAATGTCAGAGAAAACTAAACTAAATCCCGTACTTCTGACATTAAAGGATTAAATCCTAACATCATCTGAGAGCGTAACTCAAGCCTGGCTCGGTAACAAGCATCTATAATCCCAGTCCTTGGAAAGGTAAAACAGGAGGACCAACACAATTTCAAAGCAGCCTGGGAGAGCAAGTGGGAACACACCTCACAAAAAAAGAAAATAGGCATACCTTAATCCTGCAGTGATAAAATACTGCCTGGATACTGGATGGACATGAACAGTTCTTATTTTTCCCATAGATGAATTAAAAAATTTCTCATGTGAAGTTCCAGGTGTCCGTCTATCTACCAGTGACAAATGTCCATCCCAGTGTCCCACTAGCAGAGTGGAAGCATCTTTTGCCAAGAAGTCAAAGGAGGAGGGGCTATTTCCTTCGTTTCTGTACACCTAGGGGAGAACCAACAATTCGGTTAAAACCCCTAGGTTGGGGAGGTAGCTCAGTGGATCAAAATGCTATCCACAAAAGCTGGCAATCTGAGTTCAATCCCTGGAACCCCCAGAGTAAGATGGATGAGGTGAGACACATCTGGACTTCCTGCACTCTACCATGGCAGGAGGTGAAGAGGCTCAGCAGTCATCTTGGAGTGATGGGGGAATGTCCTTCTGTATATGTTTCTTTTATTGGTTGATGAATAAAATACTGTTTGGCCAATAGAGGCAGGAAGATAGGTGGGACTAGGAGACGAGGAGGATGCTGGGGAGAGAGGCAGAGAGGCGCTGGGAGGAGGCTCCATGTAGCCAAGGAAGAAGTCCAGACCCTTCTCCGGTAAGATAAAACCACATGGAAATACATAGATTTATAGAAATGGGTTAATAATTTAAGACATAGCTAGCCAGTAAGAAGCCCTAGCCATCGGCCAACGGGTTTTTTGGTTGTTGTTTTCTCTGTAGTTTTCCAGGCTGTCCTGGAACTAGCTCTATAGACCAGGCTGGCCTCGAACTCACAGAGATCCACCTGCCTCCTCAGTGCTGGGATTAAAGTCGTGTGCCACCACTGCCTGGCAGGCCAACAGTTTTATAACTAGTAGAGTGTCTCTGTGTGCTTCGGGGGCAAAGATAGGTGGGACCCAGTGGGAAAGAAACTCCGATAACACTGAAGTGTCAGCACAGGAGCACAAGCAGAGAATACTCAAAAGTGGGACGGCAATGACTGGCTCTTCAAAGTTGTCCTCACACCTCTACATGCAGCCAAGGCTGGCCTTGAACTAAGGATCCTCCTGCATTCTCTTGCTGAGATTATACAAAAACATTCTTTTAGAGAAAACCAATGCTTACATCCCCAATAAAAGAGTTACAGAATGCTTTATCAAGTGATGTCATTTACCCTTCTATCATCCACACAGGAAATACAAAGCAAAATGAAAATACTGAGGAGGCTTGCCTAAATCAAATGGCCCATGAATCCACATCAGAGCTACATCCCAAACCTGAAAACCCACAGTTCCAAATCTACTCTGGGAAACTTGCCAGAAAAAGAACTGGCTCTGAATTCTAGCCAACTAAAATTATTTATTTATTTATTTATTTTAAATAGGGTTTCTCTGTATATCCCCTGGCTGTCCTGGAATTTGCTCTGTAGACCAGGCTGGCCTTGAACTCAGAGATCCTCCTGCCTCTGCCACCTGAGTGCTAGGATTAAAGATGTGCGTCACCACTGCCCAGCCTAAAATTATATCTTAACAGAAGTAGTTTTGCATCCAAGTGAAGTCTAAGGCATCTGACTGGATGTTCAATTATAACTATCACTGATAGAAGAATAACCAGATTAAATTTCTCATGTTTTGTCTATTTTTTGAAACATGGTAGCTCAGTAGCCCAGGCTGGACTCAAACTCGAGATATACAGCTAAGGAGGACTTTGAATTTCTGATCCTCCTGCCTCCTCTTCCTAGGTGCTAAAATTCCAAGCCTGTGCCAGCACACCAATTTGTGTGGTGCTTAGGACTAAACCCAAGGCCTTGTGCCTGCTAAGGCAGGCACTCTAACAACTGAGCTACTTCTCTAGCACAGATCAAAATGTTTAATTTCCAAAGCTGGACGTGGTAGCTCATACCTCTTGTGAGGCAGAAGCAAGTGGATCTGTGAGTTTGGCCAGCTTGGTCTACAGTGAATTCCAGGACAGCCAGAGTTACAAAAGAAAAAGAAAAAAAATTTTTTTGTTTTAATTCTGATTTCACTAAAGGGTAAGTTGTTTGCTACAATCATGTTTGTGATGGCAAGCTGGGCCTAGCACTTGAAGACTGAAACAGGAAAATCACAAGTCCAGGTCAACCTATGTTACATGACAAGACTCTACCTCAAAAAACAAATCCGAAATTATCTTCATTCTTTAATTAAGAGAAAAAAAAAAAAAACAACAACAAAAAGAAAAGCCTCCCCAGCTTGTAAAAAAGATAATTTAGGAATTCAATGAAAAATTAATTGGAAGCAGCAGTCATTCCATACTATGGTAGCTATTAGAATAAATGTTTTAAAGCCCCTTTTTATTATTATTATTATTTTATTTATTTGTTTGTTTGTTTTGTTTTTTGAGACAGGGTTTCTCTGTGGCTTTGGAGGCTGTCCTGGAACTAGCTCTTTCAGACCAGGCTGGTTTCGAACTCACAGAGCTCCATCTGCCTCTGCCTCCCAAGTGCTGGGATTAAAGGCTGCCTGGGCTTCTTAACGAGACCCTATCACAAGAAACAAAATATAATTTACTCACACTAATTCACTAATTCAATTTAATTTTCATGACAACTCTGTATGACTATCCCATTTCTTAGCTAAGGAAATGTAGGCACAGATGTCAAGTAACTTGTGGAGGTCCCACAACTGATAATAGACAGTCTGAAGATTGAACTTAGTCCCTAAGCTGTACCAGAGACTTCTCAACCTGACTGATATAGGAATCAGGTGTACCAACTAATAAATGATCCAGAACATCACCTGAAGTCAGCTTGTAAATACATGAACATGTACCTCTTCAAAAACAGCACTGGAGAAATCCCCACATCGCAATGTGCCATCATAGCTCAGTGACAGTAGGTGGGCTGGATTGGTGGGTGAGAAGTAAAGACAGCTAACAGGCTGGCTGTGGGGATAAAAAACATATACCCCATCTTCACATTGCCTGGTCTAAAAGAAAGTTGGGGATGAGGGAAAAGACAAAACAAGTGAAAAGTAGTAATAGTTACTATGTCTTTATATCATTAAAGTATTTACACAGGATTTATATTGTGTCTTTGCTTAGTCTAACTCTGTTCACTCTCCCAGACAAACAGAACCAGTAACCTTTAAAAACATGTGTATGTGTGTGTACATATAGAGGCCATGACACACATGTGTAAGTCAGAGGACCCCTTGCCAGAGTCATTTCTCTCCTTTCACTATGAATTCTGAGGTTGAACTCAGGTCGTCAGGCAAGCATCAAACATCTTTACCCTCTGAGCATCTCACAGGCCCAGAAATCAACAACTTTATACTGGAATCCTGTTTCCTGATATTCAGTCTAATGATACTCAGTTACATCAATTTCACACGCCCAGTTTTGGGCAACCATCAAACTAGTTTCTTCTTAACAGAGGCAACAAAAACCCTGCTTGTGCTAGTTGAGACTGCATGCACTCATGACCACAGCTACTCAGGAGGTTGAGATAGGAGGATCACTTGGGCCAGGGATGATGAGGGTGAGATTTAAGGCTTGTCCAGGCAACACAGCAAGACCTCACCTTAAAAACAAACAAAACAAAACACAGCTGGAGAGTTGGCTCAGCAACTAAAATCATTTGCTGCTCTTGCAGAGAACCTGAGTTTGAGTCCCAGCACCTACAAGATGCCACACAACCAACTGTAACTCTAATGCCAGGGAATCTGTGGCCCTCTTTCAACCTCTGAGGACACCAGGAATGCACCTGATGCAATACATACATGCAGACAAAACACATAAACAAAAATAAATTTTTAGTGGTCATGAACTGGGGAGGGGGGGCAAGAAAGGATGGAGGGAGAAAAGAGAAGGGAGAAAATTATTTTCAAAAAAGAATGTAAAAATACAAAGTATGGGACAGTGAGATGGCTCAGCAGGTAAAGACTGTCACTAAGACATACATGCAGGCAACATATCCATATACATAAGATTATAAATTGATACTTCAGTTTTGATCAGCAATTCTTCTGTTGTTGCTTTTTGGGTTTTTTATTTCAGACAGGATCTTGCTTTGCAACCCTGGCTGGACTGGAACTCAGTAAGTAGACAAGGCTGGACGTAAACTAACAGATCCACCTATCCCTACCTCCCAAGTGTTGGAATTAAAGGTGTGAGCCACCATTCCTGGTCATGATCACCACTTTTTTTTCTTTTAAGATTTCTTTTAGAACCAGGCATAGTGGTGCACGCCTTTAATCCTAGCACTTGGAAAGCAGAAGCAGGTGGATCTCTGGGAGTTCAAGGACAGCCTGATCACCATAGCCAAATTCCAAACACCCAAGGACTATATAGAGACCCTGTCTTAAAAAAATAATAAAAATAAAATAACCGGCTATTTTATTTCACGTACCTGAATGTATGGTACATGAAGAGGCCAGAAGAAGGCACTGGGTTCCCCTGGAACTGGAGTTCCATATAGTTGTAAGCTACCATGTGGCACTAGAAATAGAACCTAGGTCCTCTGAAAGAATAAGAGCTCTAAACAGCTGAGCCATGATAAAGCCCCAGGACCATCAATTCTTTTGTCAAGCTTATGCAGTCCTTAGGATCAAAAACCCAGGGATTTATGCACTGTGACACACACACACACTCTCTCTCTCTCACACATACACACACAAAACTTAAAAAGTTAAACAGGCTAGAGAGATGACTCGGTGGTTAACAGCTCTTTCAGAGGATTCACGTCAATTCCCAGCACCCACACGTCAGCTCACAACAGTCTGTAACTCCGGTCCCAGGGGATCCAACACACTCTTCTGGCTTCTCTGGGCATCAGGCATGTAATGTAGTACACAGAAATACATACCAAAACAAAGCAAAAAATATAAATTCTTAAATTAAAAATAACATAAATAGAAAAAAAAACTTTTTAGCTGGGCTTGGTGTCACACCTTTAATTCCTGAAACTTGGAAAGCTTAGGCAGGCAGAGCTCTATGATTTCAAGGCCTGCCTGGTCTACCTAACTATCTCAGAAAACAACAACATCTTAAAAAAAAAAATACAACATGAATAGAGAGAAAGACATAACATTCAAATCATGACAGACTCAAGTTTTGAACATAATTTAAAAACTAAGACTTTTTCATATGCATTTTTTCACATATACATTTAATGTCTCCTGCCAGAAATTTATGTCCAGATGGCTAAAGATATTCAAGCTAAAAATGTTAAAGTTCTATAAAACAAATTTAAATTCTGCCAGATTTCTAAAAGTTGGAATCATAAATCACAAAACTACAAATCTCAAGCAACATTTATAAATAAATGTTCCAGGCTATTCTCTTTAAGACACTTCCTTCAGGCAGATAATCTCCCAAAAGGCAGTATCAACTTACCAAATCCCAAAGTCCGATTTGCCCAGACTTGGCTCCAGCTGCTACCAAGGTTCTCACTTCTGATGGATGGAGGGCTACAGAGGAGATCGCGCCTCTTGTCACCTTACGAACAGTAGCTTCACTGATGACCATACCACTTAAATTGGCTTTGTAGCTACAAAAATCATTAAGTTAAAATTAAAAACAATCTCAAAAGTCCAAATATGTAAAAAGTAACTCAAAATATAAAGCACAACTAGTAAGTTCTGGCAAATATCCAACTTCCTTATATCAAAAGAAACCAAATAAATCAAGGTTTATTATTTTCTGATTATAAAATTACTTTTGGTAATTTTAGTGACGACATCAAAACTGAGGAGGCTACAGTTAAAACAACATGGTGGGGCTGGGCGTATGGCTTAGCAGAGGCAGCCAGAGGAGTATGCTCTCTGAGCACACATGTACTGCGAGGTCACAGATTTTTAGAAGTCAAGGTTTAAAAAAAAAACGATTCAGGGGGCTGGAGAGATGGCTCAGCGGTTAAGAGCACTGACTGCTTTTCCAGAAGTCCTGAGTTCAATTCCCAGCATCCACATGGTGGCTCACAACCATCAGTTATGAGATCTGGTGCCTTCTTCTGGTGTGCAGATATACATGGAAGCAGAATGTTGTATACATAATGAATAAATAAAACCTTAAAAAAAAAATTCAATAGTGATGGGGGAAGTCCTTCTGTGTATGTTTGTCTTATTGGTTGATAAATAAAGCACTGTTGGTCAATAGGAAAGTAAGATAGGTGGGGCTAGTAGTCGAGGAGGGTTCTGGGAAATGTAGTAGAGACAGGCGTCTCCATGTGATCCCTGGGAAGACAGGATGCATAAGGCTGGCGTCCTCAATAAGGTAAGTCTTTATAAAATATATAGATTGATGGTTATGGTTAATAATTAAGACTGAGCTAGCATGATGAGAAATTTAATCATTGGCCAGCAGCACTGTACCTAATATAAGTCTCTGTGTGTTATTTTGGGGCCCTAACGTTGTGGTGGAACTCAGGCGGTTGGCGTAAAGAGTTATCGTTACACAATAGTGTATAATAAAAACAAAAAGGATGTCTCTAGTGTTTGAATTATTAACCCCATGTCTGGAAACCTAAGAAAAGAATCTACTATTATGTATGCACTTATACACATACACCTAAACAGAAACTAACTCCAAATACCAAACGGAGAGAAGTATGCTCTAGTAAATGTTCAAATGCCAAAGAAAAAAGGCACACTGTGAAACCATATATACATCAGAACATAAGTAAAATGTGAATTCATTTATTCAATGCTGAATATACACTATATGCCAAGCAATGTTAGGGTTGAGATAAAGTCTCTGTCTTTATAAGGTTTCCACCTATGAAGGCCTATAATCTTAGCAACTAAAAAATGAGGGTTGTAAAATCAAGGCCTGACTGCATGCAGGCTTGAATTTTAATTTTCAATGTGACACAATTTAGAATCAGTTGTGAAGAAAGACTGTCTAAAATCCAGTTGGCCTGGGGGTATGTCTATGAAAAATTGTATTGATTATTTAAGAAGATCCATCCAGGGGGCTAGAGAGATGGCTCAGCGGTCAAGAGCACTGGCTGTTCTTCCAGAGGTCCTGAGTTCAATTCCCAGCAACCACATGGTGGCTCACAACCACCTTGAATGAAATCTGGTGTCCTCTGCTGGCCTGCAGGCACAAGACTGTATACATAATAAATAAATAAATAATAAATTAATTAATTAATTAATTAATAAAATCTTTAAAAAAAAAAAAAAGATCCATCCAATGTGGTTGACACTATTTCCTAGGCAGAGAAGCCTGAATTGTGTAGGAGTGAAGAAAAGCCAGGGTACAGTGAGGCACCCCTTTAATCCCAACACTCTCAAGGCAGATCTCTGTGAGTCTAAGACCAGAGTGGTCTATACATAGGGAGACCCTGCCTCCAAAAATGAATGAATGAGTGAATAAATGAATAAGTTTTTTAATTAAAAAAGAATTGTAGCTGGAGTTTCTTGTCCCACCAGCCCCACTGCCCTTCTCAGCCTCAAATGAACACAGAGACACTATATTACTTATTAAACTGTTGGCCAATGGCTAGGGCTTCTTATTGGCTAGCTCTGTCTTAATTATTAACCCATAACTACCAATCTATGTATTTCTATGTGGCATCACCTTACCAGAGACTGCATCCTGTCTTCCCGATCTCTACATGATGTCTCTCTGCCTACCTTTCCCAGAATTCTCCTAATCTCCTAATCCCGCCTATCTTCTGCCTCTATTGGCCAAACAGTATTTTATTCATCAACCAATAAGAGAAACATATACAGAAGGACATTCCCCATCAAAGAATGAAGAGCCAACATACTCCTAAAAGAAAGCTGGGCGTTGGTGGCACACACCTTTAATCCAGCACTCAGGAGGCAGAGGCAGTAGGATCTCTGAGTTCCCGGACAGTCAGGGAAAACACCAAGGAACCCTGTCTAATAAACCCTAATAACCTAAAGAGAATGGAAAAATAGAGCTGCACACAAGCATGCATGCATGAAGTGCTTTCTGCTCTTGGCTGTGAATATGTGACTAGCCATTTCATGCTCCTGCCACCTAGGCATTGACGCAATGAAAGATTGTCACCTGGATTTCTGAGCCAAATAAACCTTGTCTTCCTTGAATTACCTTTGTCAAGTATTTTGTCACAGCAATGGGAAACCAAACTAAAACACTAGGCTGAAGAATGAGTTCAAAATGGCATGGACAACTTGGTGATACTTTATCTTAAAAATAAAAACCAGTGGGCTGAAGAAATGACAACAGTTAAGAACACTCCACGACTATTCCAAAGGACTCGGGTTCAGTTCCAAACACCCACATGGCGGCATACAATCAGTTCCACGGGATTTGTTGCCCTCTTCTCGCCTCTATAGGCACCCTCATGTTTCATGCAGTGCACTCATGTACATGTAGGCCAAACATTCATATACATAAAATCAAGTATATTAAAATACATAGAGCCAGGTGTGGTGGTGCATGTCTTTAATCAAAGTACTCAGGAAGCACAGGCAGGTGGATCTCTGAGTTCAAGGCCAGCCAGAATAGTAATTAATGAATAAATAAATAAACAAATAAACAAACAAATAAATAATATATATGTATGAAAAAATAGGGCTAATTGCTCAGTGATACAGCACTTGGCTAACACACTCAAAGCTTTAGTTTAATCCCTAACACTATGAAAGAAGAAAGGAAGCAAACAACTGTTAGCATAGAGATAGTATGGACGGATCCTTTTTTTCAAATACTTTTAAGGTTTCCTATAATAGTATACATTATAGCTTTTTAAAAAGCCCTATACAAGCCGGGCATTGGTGGCCCATGCCTTTAATCCCAGCACTTAGGAAGCAGAGGCAGGTGGATCTCTGTGAGTTTGAGGCCAGCCTGGTCTCCAGAGAGAGTGCCAGGATAGGCTCCAAAGCTACACAGAGAAACCCTGTCTCAAAAAACCAAAAAAATTTCTATACAACATTTATTCATGTATTTTCTGTATATGAGTGCTCTGTCTTCACAGACACCAGAAGAGGGCATCAGATCCCATTACAGATAGTTGTGAGCAACCATGTGATTGCTGGGAATTGAACTCAAGACTTCTGGAAGAGCAGTCAGTGCTATTAACTGCTGACCCATCTCTCTAATCCCTATATTATAGCTGTTATATTGCAAGCATCTTAAAAAGTATAAAACAGAGGTCAAAAGTAAAACAAAGGCAAGGAATTTTAACATACCTTTTGATGCTAGATAGCCCTTCCTTGGTTCTCTCATTACTTGTCTGCAACATTGGAAAAGACCAAGGACTAAGTTCATATATGCACATGGAAATTTCCTTAGATGACTCTAAAAGCTGAAAGACTTCCAAGTGATACCTTGCTCATGTCTGCCCATGTCTTCAAAGAAGCTCTGAACAGTTCATTGCTGTCATCCTGGTTTTCAGGAATCATTTCTAAGGGTCCAGGGGGTAGCAAAGGCTATCAAAAAGAAAAGGCAAAGGTTGTTTGTCCTGGAATATAAACTGAGGAAGGCCAGGGTTTTTGTTTCCATTTTCACTTCTGTCCTTTCAACATTGTAGGCATTTAAAAATGGTTGGCTGCTCAAACAGTGCATAGTGGTACCCACCTGTAATTCCAGCTCTCACAAGGCTGAAGCAGGGGGACCATGAGTTTCAGGCTAGCTTCAGTTGCACAGTGATATCCTAGAAAATAAGTCTTTCAAAATTATGCCAGAGCCCGAGATGTATCTCACTTGGCAGAATGCTTGCCTACCTAGCAAGCATGACACAAAGCAGTTGCTGTGGATTATACCTAATCCCAACACTGGGAGGGTGGAAGCAGGATGAGAAATTCAAGGTCACCCTGAACTACATAGTAAGTTCAAGGTCAGCCAAGGCCACATGAGTACCTGTTTTTTTTTTCTTTTGCTTTTTTTCAAAACAGGGTTTACCTGTAGCTTTGAAGCCTGTCCGGGAAACTTGCTCTGTAGACCAGGCTGGCTTGGGACTCGCAGAGATCAGCCTGTCCCTGCCTCCCGAGTGCTGGGATTAAAGGCGTGCGCCACCCACACCACCACTGCCCAGCTTTCATTTTCATTTTGTGTATGTATGATGTGTGTATGTACATAACATCTGTGTTCACGTGAACACACATACACATCACACATGTACAAGTCAGAACAGCCTCTGGTGTTGGTGGTCCTCACCTTCTATCTTGTTTTAAAACAAAGTCCCTACTGTTTGCTGGTATATACCAGGCCAGCTGCCCACAAGTTTCTGGAGTTCTCTAGTCTCAACTGTCCATCTCACTATGGAATTAAATACATGGTACCATCCCCAGTTTTACATGGGTTCTGGGAATTCAAACTCAGGTACTATTTGTACAGCAAGCATTTCACCCACTGGGCCGGCTCCCACGCCTAATCCTCACCAGTTTGATCATATATTACACAGTATTAATTGCTACCACTTTTTAATTACTTTCTAAACCCTTAGTATAATATAAAGAACTTTATGGATTCTATGTAATTTCATTCTTACAACGTTCTTTTGATATTTCCTTTTCTTTTTATTCTAGGCACACTCTTACTCACTAGCTCAGGTAGCCTCAAACCATGTAACCCAGCTCTCCTCAAACTGTGGCAATCCTCCTGCCTTAGCCTCCCAAACACTGGGATTACACATGTGACCAGCCACACCATTTTTTTAAATGTTGAAACTGAAACTCACAAGGAGCAAATAATTTAGCCACACACAACTGCCTGCAGAAATGCAGAGTATTACCTAATGCTAACAAGTCAACTCTGAAGTCTTATTAAATCATACAATATCTAAGTATGAAATTAATAAAATTGAAACAAAACAATCAGTTTAATTTCAAATACTTTAAATTTTTCAATATTTGATTAAGCTAAATGTACTGTATTTGCACTTTTTCTTACATTTTCTTCTTCTTCTTCTAACATTGGTTGTGTTGGAGCTGCTGGCAATGAAACTCCCAGAGGGTCTACTTTTAACAATCGCATGGACCTTCGACATCCGATCTCATTTTCTTTCTTCTTAGGCCTCTTTCTAAAGGAGTAAAGGAAATACTCATGTTTTTCTCATTGATAGTAAAATGTATTCAGTAACTTGTTGAAGATAGAATTTATTTATTCATTCATTCATTCATTCATTCATTCATTCATTTGTATGTCTATGTATGTATGTATGTGGGCCAGCAAGATGGTTCAGTGGACAAAGAGGCCTGCAGCCAAGGCTGAGACCTACATAAGGGAAGGAAAGTCAATTCCCACAAATTGTCTTCCGACTGCCACACGAGTGCTGTAGATGCACACACCCACACCCATACACACAAAATACAATGTAATGAAATTTCAAAAAGGAAACTATCAGATAAATATGAAAATAGTGTAAGTAACGAAACACTGGGTGAGGGGCTGAGGTGGAAGTATTTCTGGTCCATTAGTTCAAGGCAGCCTGTATTACTCGGTGCATTTCACGTCAACTTACTAAATTACAAGCAGTTAGAAGCTGCCATATGGGTGTTGGGAACCAAATCCAGGTCCCCCACAACTACTGATAACCACTGAGCCATTGCTGGAGCCCAAAATTTGTCAAATTTCAAAGGCTGTATTCTCTTTTTTGTATAACCGACTTACTACCAACTTGATTCAACGGCCTCTACAAACACTAAGTGCCAGAAACTTCAGACTCCAGTGACTTCAGAATAAACCACCAATCTTTGCTAACAATAAAATACACAAACTAGGCATGGCAGCATATGCCATAATCCCAGAACTAGAGAGGTGGAGGCAGGAAGATAACGAACTTGAGGCCAGCCTAGGCTACAAGTCAAAGTCTCAAATTTAAAATCCTCATCAAAATATCATGGTCTAGCCAACATTAGGCACATCTTTTACCTCTTTGATTCAGGAGGCTGTCTCTTCTTTATCATTCCACGGAGCCTTGCAGCTGACTGAAAAGCACACAAAATATACTTTCAAATAAAAACACTACCATATAAATACACTGTTTACCCATTAAAATATTATGTATTTGCTACTATATCCAGGTTTATTTAGGAAATATAGACTTTTAAGATTTGATACTTTTTCTAGGTAATAGACATGAGATAAATACACTATCAATAATAAAAGCAAGGTACTGGAGAGATGGCTCAGAGGTTAAGAGCACTGACTACTCTTTCTGAGGTCCCGGCAACCATCTGGTGCCCTCTTCTGGCATGGAGGAAAAAAACTGAATACATAATAAATAAGTCTTAAAATAATAATAATAAGGCTGGAGAAATGGCTCCGAGGCTAAGAATACTGGCTGTTCTTCCAGAGATCTTGAGTTCAATTCCCAGCAACCACATGATGGCTCACAACCATACATAATGAGATCTAGTGCCCTCTTCTGACCTGCAGGGATACATGCAGACAGAATACTATATAGGTAATAGATAAAAAAAAATACTTTAATAATAATAATAATAATAATAATAATAATAATAATAAAATCAAGTATATAATACTACCTAATATACCTTGAGCCAAGCCCTTGTGAGTTCACATGATTTAGTCAAACATACTATTATATGGCTGGCAGGATGGCTCAGTAGCACTTGCCTAGAATGCACAGGCTTGGTTTTAATCACAGAATCACAGCACTGTAAAAGTAAAAACAAATTTAAAAAAACTAATAAGCAAAAATTGATAGGTGGCTCACACCTACCTATAAGCCCAACATTCAGGAGGCTGAAGTAGGACAAATGTAGTAAGTTCAAGGCCAACCTGGCTACATAGCAAGAATGTCTCAAAATCAATCAGAGGTAGTGAGATGGCTCAATCTGTAAAAACACTTGCTGTCAAGCCTGATGACCTGAGTTCAGTCACCAGGACCCACATGGGGGCAGAACTGACTCCCAAAAGTTGTTCTCTGACCTCCACATATGTGCTATAGCATGCAGGCATATCCATGCACTCTGCTTTTCTCTACCTCTCTCTTTCTCAAAATTAAATGTTAAGACAATTTTAATAAAATAATAAAACATGGGCTGAGTGTGGTGGCACATACCTCTCTCTAACCACAGCACTTGGGAGGCAGAGGCAGGTGGAACTGAGTTTGCAGCCAGCCTGATCTACACAGTAAATTCCAGGCCAGCAGAGTAACATGGTGAGACCTTTTCAAAAACAAAAATAAATAAATAAAATACGTCCATATATAAACACACACAAAAGATATACTCCTACCCATAGATACACAAATTATAGAATTCAGCCTATAATATTAGAAACCTATTTGGACATTTTCCAGAAAAGTTGTAGGTTATATTTTTCATAGCTAAAATTATTACTTTTTAAAAGAGATTTTTGTTATTTTTTCAAGATAGGATTTCTCTGTGTAGCCCTGGACGTCCTAGAATTTGCTTTGTAGACTAGATTGACCTCAAACTCAGAGATTCATCTGCCTCTGCCTCCCAAGTACAGGGATTAAAGACGTGTATACCGCCACCCAGGTTTAAGAGTTATTTTTATTTTATGAGGGTTTTGCCTGCAGGTATGTATGTGCCCCATGTGCCAGGGACCTGCAGAGGCCAGAAGAAGGCATCAGATTCCCTAAAAGTAGAATTACCAACATTGTGAGCCGCCACGTGGGAGCTGGATGGTGGAAGAGCAGCTATTGCTCTTAACAGTCATCTCTCCAGACACCCAAATTGTAGTTTTAATTAATTAAAATCATCAGCAGACTAGGTCTTCTTTTTTCCTGTGGTTCAGGCTAGCTCTGAACCTACTATGTAATCAAAGTTAACTCTGATCTACAGAACGAGAGACTGCCTTAAAAACAAAACAAAAAACCCGAGGCCACGTATGGAGGCATTGGAGAGGTGGAGGCAGGCTAATCCCCAGGTTCACTCACAGCCAGCCTAGACTCACAGCCAGCATAGTGTAACTGGCAAGCAGACCTACCGACGGACAGACAGACGGACACACCCACCACCATGGAAAATCATTACCTAATTATCTTATCTTGGTTTTCATTACAAACTCCATACATACCTCAGATAACTCAAGGGAAGCAAAAAAGTTTGCATTCTCTTTGATGTTCTTCAATCTCTTCCTTTCATAAGGTGACAATTCTGAAAAATCACCCTAGAAAATACACCCAAAAAATCTGTTATCTCACACATTAATAGCAAAAATAACACACAAAACCAGATTCTTCGATCTCTACCCATTCCGTTCAAACTGCACAGAACCTCTAATTATTTCATGTTATCTAACAAACAGCCCATAATCTTTGCTGGACAGGATAATAAGAGAATCTGAACCTACAGTTATATGAGATTGTGGTAGTGCACATCTTTGACCCCTACTCTGGAGGCAGAAGCAGACAGATCTCTATGAGTTTGAAGCCAGCTTGGCCTCTATAATGAATTCCAAGACAGCCAAGGGCTATATAGAAAGACTGCCTCAAAAAAAAAAAAAAAAAAAAAAAAAAAAAAAGACATCATCTAGTATTAGCAGTCAAATGCCATGCCCTTATAGCAAACTATTTCCTAGCAGCCAAAAGTTATCTTTATTAAAAAATAATAACAGCCAGGCGGTGGCAGTGCATGCCTTTAATCCCAGCACTCAGGAGGCAAAGGCAAGTGGATCTCTGGGTTTGAGGCCAGCCTGCTTTACAGAGCAAGTTCCAGGATAGTAAAAGCCATTACACAGAGAAACCCAATCTATAATAACAACAACAACAACAACTCCATTTCAAAAAAAAAAGTTAGGGGCTGGAGAGATGGCTCAGAGGTTAAGAGCACCGACTGCTCTTCCAGAGGTCCTGAGTTCAATTCCCAGCAACCACATGGTGGCTCACAACCATCTGTTATGAGATCTGGTACCCTCTTCTGGTGTGCAGATACATATGGAAGCAGAATGTTGTATACATAATAAATAAAATCTTAAAAAAAAAAAAAAGTTAAGAAATGCATATATGGGTGGTTCACACTGGATGGCAAAGACAGGAGGATCCCTGGGGCTCATGGCAGCCAGTGTAGACATCAATGAACTCCATGCTTAGTAAGAGATCTTGTCTCAAAAAGTAAGGTGAAGATCTATAGAGAAAGCCACTGAATGTCAACTTCTGACCTCCATACACACACATACAGAATCTGTACACACGCACATATGAGCCACACACAAAACATTCTGAGCTAGCTGTAATAATATATACCTATGATCTCAACTCCTCAAGAAGTCAAGGCGATGATGGGATTGTGAGCTAGAGGCCAACAGGCTGAAGATAGAGCTGTTTGTCTACAACTTTGCCTAAAACACACAAAGCCTTGGGTTCAGTCCTAAGCACTGCAAGACACTATGCATACTCAGCATTTGGGAGGTAGAGATAAGAAGACCAAAAGTTCAAAGTTACCCTCAGTCACATGCCCGGTTCAAGCCCAAACTAGGACAGAGAGACCCTGCCTCCAGCAACAACAAAAGGACAAATTTCTAAAGAAACTTTAGGGCCCAGTGGGAAAGCATGTATTTAGCATATTCAAGCCCTGGGTCCAATCCAAGTATCACAGGAAAGCCAGGCATAGTGGCACATGCCTATGATCCTAGTAAGAGAATCAGGAGTTCAAAGCCAAACTTGCTCTCAAAAAACCAAATGCCAGGAGGACTATATAGCTCAGCAGTCAAAAGCACCTGCCACCAAGCCAATAGCAAGTAGTCCTCTGACCTCCACACACATGCCACAGCATGTATGTACAATCACTCCGGCAACCTCCCTTACTGCACACAAATTAATTAGTTCATGTGAAAAATTAAAGCACCAATGTCTAAGCTATCCTTCAGGTCTGGTTTAACTGGCCTGGGGTTGAATCTGAGTATTAAGGGGTAAACGTTTTTGTTGTGTGTGCGCACATTTGAAGGTCAGGGGACAGCTTTCAATAGTTGGTTCTCTCATACTGGGTGGGTCCTAGGGATTGACCTCAAGTCATCACCCTTAACAGCTGGCACCTTTACCCACTGAGCCATTTCCTTGGGCCAAATTTTTAAAAAAACATTGGAGGAGGAATTACAAGGAAGCACTAAACTATTTTCACTTCACAATAGTCAATTTGTATAGAGCTAATAACTTTTTTAAAATTTATTCTTATGTGCACTGACATTTAATCAATCAATCAATCAATCAATCAATCAATGTTTTTTGAAGTCTAGAATAAAATACAGAGGTTGGAAGAGATGGCTCAAGAGTTAACTACTCTTGCAGAGCACCTGAGTTCAGTTCTTGGCAGCCATATTGGGAAGCTCATAAATACCTATAATTTCCAGATCAAACACACTCACTCTCTCTCTCTCTCTCTCTCTCTCTCTCCCGCTCTCTCTCTCCCTCTCTCATAATGAAAAATAAATCTTCAAAAGAAACAAAATAGCCTGAGTGTGGTAAGAACCCAAAACTTCTGAATTCCTCTGACAACTGCACATGAGTGCGCACATACAATATCTAAAACAATAAAAAATAAGTCTTCAAAAGAACTAGCTTGAGCATGGTAGCACAAGCCTTTATGCCAGCACACAGGAGGTAGAGGCAGGCAGATCTCTCTGAATTTCAGAATAGCCTACTCTACATATGGAACTCCAGGGCAGCCAGGGCTAGAAATACTCCCATCTTAAAAGAAAAAGAAGTGGCCAGTCAGGGATGGAGCAGAGGCTTCAAAGATACACTGAGAAACCCTGTCTTGAAAAACAAACAGGGGCTGGAGAGATGGCTCAGCAGTTAAGAGCACTGGCTGCTCTTCCAGAGGACCTGAGTTCAATTCTCAGCAACCACATGGTGGCTGACAACCACCTATGAGATCTGGTGCCCTCTTCTGGTACACAGGCATGTATTTATATACATATAAATAATGATACATATATAATAAATAAATATTTAAAAAAACAAAAAAACAAATACAGCCGGGTGTTGGTGGCGCACGCCTTTAATCCCAGCACTCAGGAGGCAGAGGCAGAGGCAGGCCGCTCTCTGAGTTTGAGGCCAGCCTGGTCTACAGAGTGAGTCCCAGGACAGCCAAGGCTACACAGAGAAACCCAATCACAAAAAAAAAAAACAAAAAGTAAATCTTTAAAATACAATAATAAAATATACCACTGTTGCTAAAATTCCTTCCCTAGGGAAAATATAAGCAACAGCTACCCATTCTCGTAAGGTCCCAAGGACAAGCCGAGGCTTTCCCACCACAATGCACTCTGGGGATCCAATGAGCTCACTGGAGTTATTTACAGGAGTGTGGGTGCTCCTCTGCTTTACCCAGCATACGATTACTTTCCCATGGCTGCACAGATGAGGCTTCCTAAACAATTTCTCCCTAGTCTATACACACCTTAGCTGGATCCTCTGCCCCTCCATGAGGAGTTTAGTTTCCAGCATCCACACAGGACAGCTCATAACTGCTTATAACTCCAGCTCTGGGAAATACCACTCACAGATACACAATATCTGTTTTGTTGTTGTTTAGTTTTGTTGGTTTTTCTTTTTTTCTTTCCTTCTTTTTGTTTTTTGTTTGTATGTTTTTTAAGACAAGAGTTTCTCTGTGTAGCCCTGGCTGTCCTCCAACTCAGAGATCCTCTGGCCTCTGCCTCCTGAGTGCTGGGATTAAAGGTGTGTGTCAGCACTGTGTGGCCTGAGTTTATTTTAAAATAAACTAACATGAAGTAGTTTCTGTGCCTGGCTCTCACAAAATACAATCCCCATCCCCTGGAGGGGGCAGTTTAAAAAGAGGCGTTTACTCTTTTGCCTAGGCTAGCCTCCCAATCCTCCTGTGTCAGTGTCCTGGAATGCTGGGATTACAGTTGTATGCTACTATGCCCAGATTCTCACAAAATATATTATTCTCCATATAAGACACCTTCTCACTGACCATGCGGTAACTAAAATCCCAGATAAACAGGAAGTGAATCAGATGTAAGACAGCCTCTAGTACATCTGAAGCCTGACACGATGTCATGAGGACACTGGGAATCTTGAAACAAGAGGGGGTTACTTCATAATATACTGAGAATGCATTCACTTTCATGGGATCCTTCCAAATAATGAAAAGCCTTAATATATGAGGCATGATAGCCCATGTCTGTAATTCCAGTATTAGGAAAACTAAAGCAAGATAATTGCCAAGATTCTGAGGCACACTGGCTACATACTGAGTTCTAGTCCAGCCTGAGCTACAGGGAAATCCTATCTTTAAAAAAGAGACAAGCAACAATAATGGAATTGATTTAAAAAGAAAGCAGAGAGGGGAACTAACTACAAAAAAGCTGGTGGGAGGACTTGAGGGAGAACAGTAAAAGAGGGGAACAAAGCCGGGTGTTGGTGGTGCACGCCTTTAATCCCAGCACTTGGGAAGCAGAGGCAGGCGGATCTCTGTGAGTTCGAGACCAGCCTGGTCTACAAGATCTAGTTCCAGGACAGCCTCCAAAGCCACAGGGAAACCCTGTCTTGAAAAACCAAAAAAAAAAAAAAAAGATGACATGATAAACCCATTATTACATAGTCTAACCAAAAAACAGAACCTGTAGTAATCATGCAGCCTACAGTCCCAAGACACTGTAGCAACAAAGAAAAAAAAAGAAACAAAACTATAATCTAACCACAAAAAAAAAAGAAACACCAGATAACCCAAATTGAGAAATATCATCCAAAATAACTATCCACTCTTAAAAGTGGACATGAAAGACTGAGGGACTGTCACAGACCTAATTCTGGCCAAGGTAATGGAACCGTAAAAGGAATGCCTATGAAAACTGTTGGAATTCTAATAGTGCTATGTGTTAATTAACAGCACTGGGTAAAGATCAATTTCTTTGTTTGATAGATGTTCTATGACTATGACACATTAACACAAGGATAAGCTGGGGCTGGAGAGGTGGCTCAGTGGTTAACAACACTGGCTGCTCTTCCAGAGGTCCTGAGTTCAATTCCCAGCAACCACAAACCATCTGTAATGAGATCTGGTGCCCTCTTCTGGCCTTTAGGCATATATGCAGACAGAACACTGTATACATAATAAATAAATCATAAAAAAAAAAAGAAAGAAAATAAGCTAAGTGAGAAGTACAAATTCCTTAGGTTTCTGTCTTGGAAATAGGGTCTGAGTATGGAGCACTACAGCCAGGCCAGCCTAAAATTTGTGATCCTCCTGCCTCAGACATATACCACGCATGTAACTATATTATTGCAGCTTTTCTATAGCTTGAGGTTATTATTTTTAAAATATCAACTGCAGCAAGGGTGTGATGGCTACACTAAGTGTAATACTAACACAGGAGGCAGGAAGATTAGAGGTTCAAAGTCATCCACAGCTAAACAAGGAGTACAGGTTTTTAGTTTCGAGACGCTCTCACCACGAAGCTCTGGCTATCCTGGAACATGATATATAGACCAGGCTGGCCTCAAACTCAGAGATCCATCTGGCTCCTGAACAGTGGGATAACATGTACCACCAAGCCCAACCCAACACGTTTCCATCTTGGGCTATCTAAGACCCTATCTCCAATTTTTTGTTTGTTTGTTTTTGAAGCAAGAGTTCTCTCCATAACAATGCCTGTCCTAGAACTCAGTCTGTAGACCAGGCTGGCTTCAAACTGAGAGAGTCGCCTGCCTCTGCCTCCTCAGTACCCAGCTAAAAAAAAATTTTTGATTAAAAAACAAAAATGCCAGGTGTGATGGGCAGGCCTTTAATCCCAGCACTGAAGAGGCAGAGACAGGTGGGTCTCTGAGTTCAAGGCCAGCCTAGTCTACAAAGTTGAGTTCCAGGACAGCAAGGGCAATACAGAGAAAACCTGTCTCAAAAATGAAAAAACAAAAACAAAAAAAAAAAAAAAACAGAAACTAGGAATGTAGTTCTATTGGTAGCGTGCTCACCTAGCATGAGCCCTGGGTTCTATCCCCAGAACAATTTACAGCAAATGTGATGACATTCACAGCATATACCTACCTGTACTCTCAGCCCGAGAGCTGAAGCCAGAGGACGAGAGCAGGCCGTCTATTTTTTTTTTTTTTCTGGGGGGGAGGTGGGAGGGTTCAATACAGGGTTTCTCTGTGTAGCTCTGTAGACCAGGCTGGTCTGGAACTCATGGAGATCCGCCTGCCTCTGCCTCCCGGGAGCTGGGACTGAAGGCATGTGCCACCACCTCGAGAGCAGGCTGTCTTATTAATTAAAGATCATGTGGCGTCAGAAAGGGTCTGAACTGGAATCCATGGCTCCATCTCTAAAATAATCAAGTATTCAGATACTAAGAAATCCTTTTTTTTTTTTTTTTTAAAGATTTATTATGTATACAGTGTTCTGCCTGCATGTATGTCTGCAGGTCAGAAGAGGGCATCAGACCCCATAATAGATGGTTGTGAGCTACCATATGGTTGCTGGAAATTAACTCAGGACTTCTGGAAGAGTAGCTAATGTGCCTAACCTCTAAGACACCTCTCCAGCAACCAAAAAATTCTTTTTATTACATTCATCTATTTGTTTATTTGTTTATTTATTTGTATGTATATGTGTGGGCATACATGCGGAGGTCTCAGAGTATAGTTTTCAGGAGTCTGTTTTATTTTTCCACCATGAAAGCCCTGGGAATCAAACTCAGTCACCAGCCTTGGCAGCAAACACCCTCACTCCCTGAACAATCTCACTAGCCACATGAGAAACTGTTTTTGAGGTTGATTTTTTTTTGTTTTTCAGACAATCTCGATTGTAGCACTGATTGGTCTAGGACTCACTATGTAGACCAGGATGGCACTGAATTTGCATGAATCCTCCTGCATCTGTCTTAAAAGTGCTGGGATGAAGACATGTACCATCATACAAACTTAGCTATCATTTTGTTTGTTGGTTGTAATATACGTTGAACCTGAGGCCTCTCATTTGCTGGGCAAGCATTCTACCGCTGAGCTATTCATCCCCAGGCCTAAGAAATTCTTTATGAAGCAATGCATGGAGGCTCAGACCAGTAGCACTGAGAGACTGAGGTAAGAGAATCAAGAGTTTGAGAATAACCTGGGCTACATTGTGAGTTCCAGGCCAGCTTGAGACACTAAATGAAAATGCTGGAAGAATGGCAAGAAGAAAGAGGAGGCGAACAATTCTTTATTTAAAAAATAAATAAATAAATAAATAAATAAACTAGTAGAAAATAAAGATAAAAATTCACAAATGTTCTCAGAAAGTAAAACAAAATTCTACACTTTCGGTCCAAGGCTCTTACAGATAATAGTGGGGAAGGGAGACTGTAAGACTAAACACTACTCCAAAAGCATGGCAAAGCCTTTAGTCACCCTACTCCAAAGAGAGGTTGCTCAATGGCAGTACTTGTATAGCATGCATAAACCCTGTGTTCAATCCCCCAGCACCTTAATAAAAAATGGTGATAATGAAAAGAGAACAAACTAGTGAACCATGCATGTAATTATCATGTTATCTTAGCCAGGCATGGTATGGTGGTGCAGCAATCCCAGATAATGCATAGGCTGACACACAAAAGGACCTAAAGTTCCATGGCCAACCTGGGCAACTTAGTAAGACCCTGTTTCAAAATAGTATCTCACGAGTACATTGCTTCCCTAGCATTTGTGAGGCCCTAAATTCAACTCCCAGCACTGCAAAAAGGTAAATAAATGCTATTATCTTACTTTGTCTTTAAACAAAGAAGAAAAATGTATCTTAGTCATTAGCACTGCTTAAACATCTCTGCTGCTAGTTTCTATTTCTTATAGCCAAGCAAAAATAAGCATTATGTTAACCTCATATCCAGTAGTCTTAGTTTAAAACATAATCTAACCCAGCAATTCTCAAAGTACAGTCCCAGACCAACAGTATCTAGCAGTGCCTGTAAGAAACTATGGCAGCTGGGTTGTGGTGGTGCACGCCTTTAATCCTCACTTAGGAGGATCTTTGTTGAGTTCAAGGCCATCCAGGTCTACAGAGTAAGTTCCAGAACAGCCATGACACAGAGAAACCCTTTCTCAGAAAATGAAAAGGAAACTATAAAAACAACCAAGCAAGGTGGTACACACTTTAATTTCAGCATTCATCTTTAATCCTAGCACTTGAGAGGAAGAGGTCAATGTGATCTACTAGCAAGTTCCAGGCCAGCCTTTGCGCTCTCTCTCTCTCTCTCTCTCTCTCTCTCTCTCTCTCTCTCTCTCTCTCTCTCTCACTCACACACACCAACACAAAAATTATATTTTCTT